CCGACGGGCTGCGAGTAGAGCGTCTGCCATGCGTCGTACATCAATTATATAGGGTAGAAAGCCTCGTCGATTAAGGTCTAGGATCCACTGCACGAGAGACTGCTCTTCAGTAGTTGATAGCTTTCGGTTGACAGAGACTATCTCTGATCGCGGGTGGACACCACGGAGACGCGTCCGGAGAGTAGATTCTAGTACGTCATACGCTCTCGCGAGGGCTTAGATTAATTGGCATAGTTTATTCTAATAGGAGACCATCGCGAGACTTAGTCTACCTTCACGAGATGTCACCTTAGGCCGTGGTTGTTAAGTCATGGTCGTTGGCGCAGATAGAGTTGTGAGGATTTGGTGGGGTGCGCAGCTTACTGGGGTGCGCAGCTTACTAGTGGAACACAGTACTTAGCGCGTAGCTAAGCCTTACGTGATGCCTTCGAGCTAGTGCACTTGGGAACTTCGCTGCGGCTACCGCGGCTTGCCCCACTGCTGTATCCACTATTTGCTTACTACTATCGCTACTACATGCATCACCGCAACAACTGCCGCTGATATTACAGCTGCTCACTGGATACCATCAATCTTCTATTCAAGCTGCGCGCAGTTTTGGTGTCATCTTACCAACCAGGGTGTTTGTGTGCTATAGTTAAAATATTAACTATATTCATTCTAACATTAGTCTCAATGGTCAAGGGGCTTTAGTTTGACAATCTACTTTGCGTTGGCTAGTGTGATGTGTAGCCCTAGAATTAGCAGCGTAGCGGTAAATAGAAATTGAGATCATGTAAGATCTTATGAAAGCCCTGTCGTTAGCTGAGGTATAGGTGAGCTCAACTGGTGTTTGTTAGGTGGCGTTGATATATCAAGGAAAAACGCGTGCAAGTAATAATTGTTGATTGTTGGGCATTGGCCATAAGTACAACTATCATCCACAAGCTACGCTACCAAACCACTAGCCGCCCATCATCCGAAAGACCATGGAAACATCGGCGGTAACGGTGGATGAGCTTCTAAGAAGAATAGAATTGAATAAATAAGATACAGTGTTTATAATATGTGTTGTGTAGGCCCCAGACAATGCGGTCGAACATAATAGGAGACCAACCAGTGATTTACATGACCCCAGGAGAGACTTAAGCAGCAGTGCAGATCAAGCCATCAGCACCAAGAGGGAGGATACAGCACTGAGCTGTAAGACCAGTCTCGGCACACACAGCGTTGAAAGCATCCACGTCACTGACGGGGCCGGCTGTAAAAGATATCAGTAAACTGCCACTGTTTTATGCTGGGAGTAGTGAGCTATAAACTTACCGTTCTCGCAGTTCAAGTTGGCGACTCCGAGGATATCGGTCTGGCAGCAGAGAGGGGTGGAGAGAGGGCCGCAGACATCGCCTTCGCCGCCATTGCCTCCATCATTTCCCTCGCCTCCCTGGTACGATTCATCGCCGGCGTAGTAGGTGTCATGGCGCTTGGTTACGGCAGCGCCGGAGGTGAAGCCGATAAGAGCGATAAGGGCAAAGATGGTGAAACGCATTTTCGTAGATGAAGAGGGTTTGTTGGTTTGCTTTGGTGTGAAAAGAAACGGCGGTCGTAGGTAGAGACTGGTAGTGTGAAGGAGTGTTTGTTGGAAGGATGAATGGATCGCTTTGGATGATTTTGAAATGCATGCATTCCATGGAGTTTATATACATATCTGAATGGTGGCAAAGTAGATGATGGATGACTGCCTTGACATCCGTCTACCCTTCCGCCATCCCGCTTTCCTCCCTTTCCTGTTCCCACGTCTCAGGGAGTGGAGTCAAGAGACTATTGTCCAAGGCTGTTACTATTCCGCTTTGGTATGCATCCAGGGTATCGCTTTTCCAATCTCATGCCTACCCTCCCCAGGTTATCATGGGATACCCTTACACCCTCCCGCCATATCGTCCGCCAAATACTCCATACAGCTCGCTTCTACAAGCCCCAAATCCTTCCACTATTGCAGGTTGCAGATCACCCCGCTAATTTTCTTTACAAGGTCCCCAGTGCCGATCACTCACGCGACTCATGTTCGGTAGCGAATCTGGCAAGGCATCAATTGGATTGCTTTTTCCATGCATGCCACTGTCATGTGAAGATTCTGCCCACATTTCAAACTTCAGGATCTACAAAATGTTGCCAATGCGACCGTGGAGGAAGGATATTCAAGTGAGTTTTCGGCTTCAAGTGTGGTGGGGGTTGAGAGAACCGATTCAATACCATTTGTGTTTGGCTATTCCCATATACTACAGATTCATGTCAACTCGGCCCCGCATAGAGAGCTAGGATGGAAATAGACCCTGTGTGAAGATCTACACAGGGACCTGTGGGGCGAAAGGAAAATGAGTCTTTTTGAACCCGAGAAAAGCAACGAGTAGGGCAGCCTTATCAGCCATTGTTAGGGAGCAAATCTACGCATAAAGTGGATAGCACGGCATCTTCCCGAGAATCTCTGGCTTAATTGATAGGATGGATAGTAGCTGTGCGCGACTTGACTCGTTGCGACTTGACTCGTTGCGACTCAGTGACGTCGTGATGATGGTAGGTCAATCACTTCGCAAGTTGTAAGCGAAGCAGGAGGATCTGAAGAAGAAACCACAGACACATGGCTATGCCCCTAGTCCCATAATTACAGCACCCATATACCCGTACCTGCATCGTGAGTTTATCAGAGAACCAATGTTAGACATGCAGTGCGGACCAAACACCTACACAGTCTGGTGAGCAACCTCTAGCGGGAACACGACCATCGTTAGCGATGATAATCGAGGTGACTCAAGAATAACATGGCTATTATACAAACAATCGAGGAATAATAGCGAGTTAACAGCATCCACATGATATTCAAGAACATTTTGAATAGCACATTTCAAACGATGCAACCCTCGACACCTTCGCCCCACCAATATCACCACAACTATCACTATCCCATTGCGGCGACGAAAGAGACCCAAGCAAGCGAATACAAGACAGTTCCAGGCCGATCAAGAATGAAAAAGGTAGTATAATCAAGACAACTTCTCAGCGAACTCAGCGCCAAAGCCACGCCTTCTCTTCCAGCGAACCGAAAATGAAAAAGCAAACCATCAACCGTTCTCCAGGCAAAAAACAAAAAGCACAGATTTCTCATATTCGCTACACCAAGTACGATCGCTTTTTCTCATTCCAACTTTTAGTCGGATGCTCCTCTTGGCCATGCTAAGCCCCCTTCTGCCCCTATCTCCTCCTCTTCTCTCCTCCCCAACAATCGTAAACAACCCAATAAACAACACAAAAGATGCAGATGCGATCTCAGAAACCACCACCTGCCACCCTATCTTCTCCCACACTGTATAAACCATCCAGATCCCTAACCCCACGCACTTATACCCGCCCCCCCTCAAACCTCTCATTGCAACCAAGTTTTCCTCCAACCCACACACACAAACATGCACTTATATACGCCCACGTAAATGTACATAAACAACTAAAAACGGTAGTTGTCAACAAACAACACACACTGCGAGTGGAAAAAAGAAAAGAAAAAGAAAGGGATATACTGTAAGCAGGGCTAAATGGGGTAAAAAGAGAAAAAATTGCATGGAAAAAGAAAGTGCAAAGTGGAAAAAGAAAAGAAAGGGGGGAACAAAAAAAGGGGGTAAACAAGGGAAGCATCGCGGCAACTAAAATGATACGGGAGATATGAGAACTGGTTCTGGTTCTAGTACTGGTACTTGCTAGACCTGACCACTGCCGACGCAGGGGAACAGTCCCAGTCCCAGTCCCAGTCCCAGTCCACGTCGACGTCGACGTCGATCCAGGGTTTTTACTTGACACTTAGCTCTCCCTTACCCTTATCCGTTCCCATTCCCTCCTTTCTCCCACTCCGCGCGCCCAAAAAAAAGGGGGGGAGGGAGGGGAGAGTCAAGAGAGAGAGAGAGAGAAATGGCGTAGAGTCAAAAACGAGTCAGTGAGTAAGTAGCCAACTAAGTCGATGAATGAATGAGTCATATCCAGCTACACTTACCCAACCCAACCCATATCGGCGCCCAATGCGCATACATGATTATGACTCCACGTTGAGTCTGTATATACACATACACATAGAGAGAGAGAAAGAGAGAGAACGAGAGAATAGCCAGCGCATCACTCAAAAGCGAAGTTAGTTAAATAATCCAGATACTTACTTACGTCTTCATCTGGATTTCCATCGTTACTTACTAGTCTATAAGTTCAGACGCCCCCCGCCCCCCCCCCCTAGAAAAAAAAACACCTATAATGTTATCTATGCTCTAAATGGCAGAAACGAAACCTGCAAATGCTGGACTGCTGAGAAAATGGAAATAATAAAACGGAGGAGGAGGAGGAGGAGGAGGAAGGCGGGTATACATGTGTATGTACGACCAGCATACATACTAACATGGATACAAGACTTCTTTCTCCTGGTTCCCCCCCCCCCAACCCCCCAGGCCCAACCCTAACCCTGACCCCAGTCCACCCCCTCCCTTCTCTTTCTCCCACAACTAGCCTCACCAACCTCATTCCTTTTTTCTCTCATTACCACACAAACGCAAACACACGCAAACACGCCGTCAAGCACATCAGACAGACACAGCCAGGGACAGAGCCAGAGCCCCCGAGTAGACCACCACCTGCTCCGCTTTCAGGGACGGCTATGGAAGCAGATTGCAAAGTACCCACCCAGCTATCTCAAACTCGGCTACATGGCGCGTAGCAAGGCCATTTTTGCAGAGGCCATGGTGCACGTAGTTGGCCAGTGGCCCCAGGGCATCAACCAGCTGCGCGGCCAGATTGCCGAGCCCGTCATTGAGCTGATTGAGGACAAGGTGGACGAAATGGACGAGCTCAAAGCTAAAATAGAGGTCAAGCTCTTCCGCCTTTCGCTCACAACAAGTCGCGGAGAGCGCGTCAGCCCCTCGAGCAACTGGCTGGACTGGATAGCAGTTTCGCTGTTCCGACAATGGCTTGCGGAAAACACGACACCGCCACCAGCCCCAATTCTCAAGTCCCCACGGCCCCCAGGCGCACGAGGAGAAAACGCACCGCTACCTCCTCCGCCCGTTTTTAACACAGGCCGCATCTTCCGCCTCCTCGGCCAAGCAGGTTCCACGTACCTAAACCACGACGAATGCAAGCGCTTCCTGCGTCTCAACCCAGAACACTACAATCGCGACAATCTCAAGCGCCTCGAGCGCCGCATCGACGAGATCAAGAATAAGGCAAAAGATGTCGTCAAGCCTCTCATGCGCAACTTTCTCGAACTCGATCTGCGCGAGGGTGGCCTGCCTTATCTCACTTGCACCCGAATCGATCCTCATGATTTCCCGTGGGATGAGATATAGGGCTGCAAGAAAAATGAAACAAGCCATATATGCGTTGGATGCGCGCATTCTACAGACGTTTTGCGCTTTTCATGGTTCGATTGCCATGGTCTGATTGGGCTGCGCATCTTCTGCCTCTCACCCGCCTTTGTTTGTGGGCATGCGCAGATGAAGAAGGATTGGATTTGTTTGGTCCATTTTGTCCATTTTTTTGGGGAACTCTTGTTACCATCGCTGTCGCTGTCGCTGTTGCCGTTGTTGTCGGAAACGTCGTTTCTCTCTCTCTCTTTTTTCTTGTTGTTGTTGTCGGGCGCCTGATACCCTTGGGAATGTGTTTTTCTCTCTCGTTTTTTCTTCTTCTCCTTTTTCTTCTTTTTTTCTCAAAACCCCCCCCCCCCCCGCTTAACCCCTTTTTCGAAGTTTCCTCTTTTTTTTAACGAGTTGATGATGGAAATGAAGTGTTTGATGTGTTCTCTGGCCAATTACACCAAGCGCATCGTACATGTCGGCGAGTTGCAAAAGCGACTTGCACTCGACATAGGCGGTGGCAATGTTGATGGTATCGAGCGACGGCGGGTAGTTGTAGAAGATGCGGAATAGATTGTCGTAGTCGCGGAACGTGTCGTCGTCGGGGTCGATTTCAGGGGGCGCCGTGGGCACGTGGAGGGTGGAGAAATTGGCGACGGCGTGGAAGAAGCCTGCCTGGGGGGCGGCGGGCTTGTTGTTTCGCGCTGGGGGAGGCTGCGCCGACGGGCTTGTTTCGCTGCCGCCAAAGAGGGTGGGCTGGTTCTTCTGCACAGCGTGTCAGCAGCGTATACAGGCGTGGGCGGCAAACAAAGGTACCTTTTGCACCAGCATGGGCAGGTCGTCGTCGCCGTCGCCCCAGTCCAGCTCGTAGCGCCATCTCCGCTTCTGCTCTGGGCGCGACCCAGCGGGAATCCGCGCGAGGGCGGTACCGCTTGTCGGGGGTGCGCTGCTCGCCTCTCCTCCACCAGCACCGGCGCTGGCCCACTCGTCGCTGGTGCCGGCCTCGAAGAAGCCTGAGCACTGGGTGAGGATCAGCTTGTGCAGCAGATAGCGCTGCTCCTTGCGGCCATTGCTGATGATGATTTCGACGTCGCCCGTGTGGGTGAAGACGGGGAACTCGTTCTGCGAGACGACGAGGTGGTGGTAGTGGGGTGGTTTTAGCGGGCCATCCCTCTTGCGCAGTCTCCAGCCTCGCATCCACCATCCACTCCTCCCAGCCAGCCCGCCTGCTCTCCCCCCCCCCCTCGCCCGCCGCCCGCCGTGCACTGCGCTGCTGCTCTGCACTGCACTGCACTGCACCGCTGCGTGCCCTCAACGCATCTCGCAGCGCCGCCTGGTGTCGCTGCTCCCCGCCTCGTCGGCCAGGCCAGTGTGTGACGCTGCCACGGCCACTGTCCCCAGCCACCCCGGAGCCCGCTGCAAGCTTTCTGGCGCGCAATATAGCGGCAAACCACCACCCACCCACCCCCTTCGTGCGGCCCTCTCGAACCACCACACAGCACCCAAAAGTCGCGGCGCATGGTTTCGTATCCAGACTCGACGAGTGCCGAGCGCTCACTGCCCATCCGGCGCCCGTCGTCGGTCGCATCGCATTCGTCGCGCGCGTCCACGACGGTCCGCAGACATCGCCAGACCCGGTCCAATTTCGGAGGCTCGTCGCAGAGCGAGCGAGCGATGGGCGGGCGTAGATCGCGGCTAACAAACTCCCACTACCACTCGCTGCTGCTGCTGGCGCCGCTGCTGCTACACCTCGTCCGGCGCCTTCAGCTCGACAGGCTCGGTTTTTCGGCGGGTCCGCGACGCACTGGCAGCGTTGAGGCGGGTTTCAGGAGCCGTGGCAACAAGCACAAGTGTTCACATGGTCGCGCTGCTTGCCCTGGCAACATGCAGCCAGACCACCATCCTGGCCCGCCGTGCGCCAATAATCCTCGACAGCCGGGCCAAGCGCTGTCAGCCTCGACGGCCGCCAGCTGGGATGCCGCCGCCCGGACAGGGGACCGGGGCAGAGGGTGTGTTTGGACCTGTGTCTGAACCTGTGTCTGAAATGATGCAGCGGGCGACGTGGGCCACTCGTCGACACCGCGTCTGGCTGATAGTGTACATACTATACAATGATACAGTGCTAATCGCGCTATGCTTGTATTCTTGCCTGCCCGCCCATGAATGGCCGCAGCACCTCGGGGACGGCCACGGTGCCCTCGGCCTCGCTCCAGTGCTGCTCCAAAATCGCCGCCAGCACCCGCGGCACCGCCAGCGCCGTTCCGTTGAGCGTGTACGGGAACTCGAGCTTGCCTCCCTTGACTCGCATGCGCGTCTGCAGCCGCCGGCTCTGGTAGTCGGTGCACATGGACGTCGACGTCACCTCGCCCCAGCCCTGGTCCTTTTCGCGCGACGGGAACAAGGCCTCAATGTCCAGTTTGCGCGTGGCACTCGCGCCCAGGTCCGTCGTCGGCATCTCGAGGATGCGGCAGTGCAGTCCAAGCGCTCCCAAAATCTCCTTCTGTATCGACAGCATCTCCTCCAAAATGGCCTCGGAGCTCGGCGCGGCCGTGGCGGTGAAGTGCTCGTCGCCCATGTTGTCGGGCAGCGTCCACGCGAACATCTCGACCTTTGTAAACTCGTGCACCCGGTACAGCCCTTTGGTGTCGGCCCCTCTTGCGCCCGCCTCGGCACGGTAGCATCTGCTGACGCCCACCGTCTTGAGCGGCAGCTCGCCCTCTTCAAACGTGTGGTTTGCCTTCATGCCCGCCAGCGGTATCTCGGCCGTGCCCGCCAGAGCCATCTGCGGCTTCGCCTTGTCCTTTTCAGACTGCTCAATGGCGTAAATCTGCTGCTCTCCGTTCTGGTCGCGCGGCTGGAACCCGCATGCCGCTGCAATGTGCGAGTACACCATCGAGGGCGGTGCGACGGCTTTCCATCCCCTCTTCCCGGCGACGCTCAGGGCGTACTGCACCAGCGCTTGCTCCAGCAGGGCGCCGTCGCCAACCAGAAAATACCAGCCCCATCCCGACGTTTGTGCCGACCCCGAAAAGTCCAAAATGCCCAGTTGCTGGCCAATGTCGACGTGCGACTTGGGAGACTTTGGCAATGGCTCGTTTGCAGACGGCGCATTGATGTAGCCAACGACGTCAAACTCTGTGCCGACTGGCGTGTGCGTGCTGCTCAGGTTGGGCAGGTCCTGCGCCAGGCTCTCAATCTCTTCCTGCAGCTGTGTTTCCTGGGCTTCAATGGTGCTGAGCTCGACCTTGAGCGCCTTTGCTTCAGCAATCAGGCCTTCTCGCATGGCAACGGGCTGCCCCGCGGCACCCTTGGCCCGCGATGCTGTACTCGCAAGGTTGGCTCGCAGCCGGTTGTTGCGCTCGCGCAGGCTGCGGCTGCTCTGCTGCAGCGCCAGCCATTGCTCGTGGAGCTCGATGATGCGCCAGGACGACTTGCTGTGTGCGGCATAATTGCGGTCGATGCAGTTTTGCTCGTAGAGACCGGGATTTTGTCTGATGTGCTTGACGTCGATTGTGGGCTTGGGTGCAAAGGCGGGCCGGGTATAGGTACGGCGGGCACAAGCCGTCGACGGGCGCCGTATCGCTGCTGGCCGTCGCGAGAGTGGCGGATGGAGTGTGCAGTCTGCGAGCGACTGCCGAAACGCCTTCATGGTTGCGGCATTTAGAGGATGGGTTGCGCTGGCCGTCCCGCCTTTGCCAGCGTCCAAACTTTGATGTACCCTGATCCCTGCATGCCGTCGCGTACATGGCCATCCCCGCCCTGACCTCACTTGACAGTGTAGATCAAGTGGGAATCGTGGTTTGCAGGAATAGTTTAACGGCCGTGTAGTTCCTAGTACTAACTGAACTGCAGAAGCTTGACGGTGCATGTGGATTTGAAGCTTTTCTCCCACACTTGAACCATATTCTCTTGCTGCTGAGAGGACCTGACTGAGAATCTTGAAACTAGATACTACCAGCACGCAGTAATATCTTGGAGAGCGAGAAGCAGGCGACCAGGGCATTTCAGCCAGCCAAATACGTCAGCATACTACACTGTAAGACACGACGTCACCTGATGGCGCGTCTAACAAGGTCAACATGACTTGGCTGAACACGACGAATACAGTCAGTCGCGAGCAAGCATCTGTGATCAGAGACAAGACTCGATTCATCCTTCGACCGGACTGCATGGTTGTTGTCGAATGACGAGCCTTTCATTGATTGACCTGTTCCATTGCTAGACTTCCTTGAGTCGCTACGCAAATGCACGTGATCCTGGGTTTCGGTGGTCCAAGCGCCGGTCGGAATCGAAGAGCCCCATCATACAACCCGCAATCACCTACATTTCAACCACGAACCTTGCGCCGACCATCTTTACACACGTTCAAGCCAGAGGTTATCATGCCGAGCTCATCGCCTGCAGTTCACAATCCAGCCCTTCAATTCCTGGAAAGAAAGGCTCAACAACACAATGGCATATTCAAAAAGTATGGAACAAGCCATGACATCCAGCGAGAAGTGAGCGCTATCCTCTTCATGCGGCACAACACGTCGATCCCGGTGCCTCGGGTCATAGATTCATGCATTCAAGAACGCGACAGCTGGTTTTCCATGGACATCGTTCCTGGCTTGTCTCTTACTGATACCTGGATGCGCATGAGCGAAGCAGCACAAGAGACGACGCGACGCCAACTTTCCGACTATCTTTGTGAGTTACGGGCTCTACGTCCTCCTCATCCCCCTTATTTTGGGTCTTGTACAGGTGGACCCGCATATGACCATCGTCTCAACAGTGGCTTTTCCTGCGGTCCTTTTGCCTCGGTAGCTGAATTTCATGATGTGCTTGTCGCCCCCGTCACGCGGTGCCCCCGTCCAGAACTTGCAGCGCATTATCGAAAGCAGCTTTCAGACGAGCACAAAATAGTATTCACGCATGCAGATTTGTGTGGGGATCACGTCTTTGTTGACCCTGGTACTGGCAAGGTTACGGGAATTGTCGATTGGGAGATGGCTGGTTGGTGGCCCGCATATTGGGAATACACCAAATCCCTGTTTGGGGGCAGATGCATGCCATGGTGGAAGGAAATTGTGAACACAGCCATGGATCCCTATCCGTCCGAACGCGAGGTTGACCGTATTCTGCAGCAATTCTGATGTGCCCAAAACCTAACCAGGCCCGATGCTTCCGGTGTTGAGGAAGAGCGTCCACGTAGGCGGCGCATCCTCGGGTGCGTTATAATTCTCACGTGCGGGCTTATCAGCTCCCGATGCCAGTGCTGTATTACGCCTCGTGTGGCGGTGCACCATGCATAGGCAGGTGAAACAGAGTTTAAATGACGTGGTCCCGTGGCTGTAATAGTATCTCGTCCTAGCACGGTTGCAACCCTATCCAATGCGTCGTGTGCGGTTGGGCGCAGCGTGAGCAGGCCTCGGCTCGCTAATCGCATCCCGGCTTACCAGGAGCCGTCCGTGGTTCCTTGCGCCATCGTCATCCGGCACCCTCTCTATCAGGCACCCTCGAGAGGAGTACATGAGCGTGCTCTCCCCCCGCCGCCGCCTCATCTCCTGCTCGGACAAGCATACTGCTCCATCACCACCACCGGTCGCTGCGTCCCCAGACTGCTGCGCCATCGCACCTCAAACCACTCGCGTGCGACCGCTGGTGCTGTTCATCCCGCCGCCCGCCCACGCCTCACCACCACCATGCACGATCCATTCCCCTTCCCGCGGCCCGAGAGCCTGGTCAAGTACGTCGAGCCCGTCGCCGAATACCTCTCGCTCAAAACACTCCCCCTGCACTTCCACGAGGTGGCCTTTGCCTTTGTCCTGTACGACGTCACCTACCGCATCATCTCGCCCGCCGTCTCGCGCCTCTTCTTCCCCCGCATATACTCGTCCTTCAACGCCCGCACCCGCCTCAACTGGGATGTCCACATTGTGTCCTTTGTCCAGAGCACCCTCATCTGCGCCCTGGCCCTGTGGGTCATGTGGACAGACTCGGAATTGAATCAGATGGATAGCATTGAGCGCGTGCATGGATACACCGGTGCCTCTGGCTTGATCCAGGCTTTTGCGGGCGGCTATTTCGTCTGGGACTTGATCATCACCGTCCAGAACATCAAGATATTCGGAATCGGCATGCTGTTCCACGCCATCTCGGCCCTCTGCGTCTTCTCGCTGGGCTTTGTAAGTGCATCCCGCGCTTCAGTCTTGGGGGCTGTCCCGCTAATCTCCTCAACAGAGGCCATTCGTCAACTACTATGCCTGCAGCTTCATTCTCTACGAGCTCTCCTCGCCCTTTCTCAACATCCACTGGTTCTGCGACAAGCTCAACATGACGGGCTCCACGGTCCAGCTCGTCAACGGCATAGCCCTACTGTGCACCTTCTTCTCGTGCCGTCTCGTCTGGGGAACATACCAGTCGTTCCGCGTCTTTGCCGACGTCTACCACATATACACAGCCGGCATAGTCCCGCAATCTGACCCTGAACTCGGAAAATTGTCCAACGATACGCTTGTCGGCAACGCAGCCTTTAAGAACGACCTTCTCCGTTACTCTGAAGGCCAATCTATTCCCTTCTGGCTCATATTCGCCTACCTAGCCTCCAACGTTATCCTCAACGGCCTGAACTGGTTCTGGTTCAGCAAGATGATTGAGACGATACGCAAGCGCTTCGACCCGCCCCTTGGCACAAAGAAGCAGACGCCCGAGATCAAAACTGCTTCTCTCAACATTCCCGAAGACGAAAAGGTTCTCGTTGAGGGCATCCATGTCGCTACGCCCGGGGTGGTGGAAAAGGAAGATGAAGACTATCTCAACGTTTCCAAGTCGGTTGAACTTGAGAAGGATGCGAGCGGGCGACATTTGGAAGTTCACCAGAGCGAGATTCGCAGTCGGCCCAATCCGCAGAGAGCTGCTCACGCAGCGTAGGCGTCTCTGCTTTTGAAGGGTTGGTTGGATAGTAAGTACAGAGCAATTCATTCCATAGACTTGAGAACAGATAATGGGCTTTTTCATTTTTTTCTCTTCCAATCGCATCGCTTTTTTCCATACTGCCTTGCTAGTTTCTCTCGACTCCCCTTTTTTTTTGGGGGAACCCGTCTGTAATACACACCATACACTTCCATTCTTCTCTCTGCCAATTTCAATACGTCCACTGGTATTTTCTTCTGCGTCACACCGCCATTTTTTTTCTCCCCTCAGCATAACCTGGCTTTCCCGATTCTAATCCTCGGCACAGAACGTGCGCGTGCTACGTACCCGCCCTCTTTTCCACCCCCACGTGCCCACTCACATGACATGTTGGCATCCTCATTCTCCGGCTCATGACACACTATCTATGAGCACGCAACTACACACAGAAACCATTCACAAGACGTCCCACGACCAACAAGCAGCTTGCGTGGCATTACAGAAGAATATCTGTTGCCCGTAAGTATGCCTGAATACGCTGGAGTCGCGCCGGAACTTAGCGTTCGTACTCTGTTCCTAGTACAGAGTGTCACGGAGACGAGGAAAACAAAAAAAAGGTAGATTGCGAGTTTGCGCATGATATGCCTTTTGGATAAAATAGGCAGAGCACACTACTACTACTACTACTACTACTTGTAAATGAGGGCGGCTGAGTAGTGGGCATTGGGGTTATACCCCGCACATGCTGTTGTTGTTGTTGTCTTCGTAGCAACAAAACACAGTGTGACACCCCCTCCCCCTCCCTTACTTATTATTATGCCCCCCCCCCAAAAAAAATGACAAAGGAAAAAATTACAATACCCGCAATCGAATTATACCAGCCTCTTTTTTTTCTCTTCTCTCTCCCTCATATACGCACTCCTCAATTTGAGAGGAAGACTGGAATTGTTTTTTTTTCTTCAGGAATCCCCCATTTCTCGTTTCATCTCATGTCCCATTTTCTCATTCTCATTCTCATTCTCATATCCTCACAATCGCCCCTTTCAAGCCCCGCCACTACCCTCGCTCTTCCTTGCCCTCCCCTTCGCCCTCTTGCGCGCCTTCCCGCTCTTCCCCTTGGTCAGTTTGACTGGAATCACGCCCGCGCGCTCATACACCATGTCGAGTGCATTCAGCACATCGTCCATGCGCAGCACGGGATCGCGATCTTCAGTCTGGTCTTCCTCGGTGCGCAGCGCTACAGCTTCGCTCAGGACTTCGCAGGCGAGTCGCGGTTGGCCGTGTGTGCATGACGCGAAGAGCGAGAGCGCGGCGAGCGTGGCGGGTGCGAGTGCTGATGCGTGCGTTGTGGATGTGTATTTTCCGGTTGACGGCTTCATGCTTGGGGGGAGGAGTGCGTCGAGAGATATGCCCCAGCGGTCCTGGATAAGAGTTTCGTGGGGGGTGTTGGATGTGCTTGGTTCTGCTTCTGATTTCCCCTTTCCTTCTCCTTCTTGTTCTTGTTCTCCCGCTGATACCGATACTGATACTGATGATGGCAGTGGTGCTGCTGACGCCACGCTAATATCGCACTGTTTTATCGCTACCATTTCCGCATGCACGGCTGCATACGGGCGGGTGATACGCATTTTATTCCTTGATGACGGCTTCGTCACGCTCAAGCTGAGTATATGCTGGCTTTTTTCGTGGTCGCTGAGATTCTGCTTGCTGTTAGTATTACCTCGCACCTCGCACCACCTCGACTACTTCCATAAATGGATGTTTACACAGAGCAGATAGTCAGAAAGAAAGTGAAAGAAATATAAGGGGCTCTTACCACCCACTCCTCCCCATACCCCTCCACATCCGGATCCACATCCGCCTCTTCCTCTCCCGCATACAATACGTAGCTGTACACTGCATCCGGCAACATGACTTCATCTTCGTGCGCGGCAACTAGCACGCGCTCGTCTTCCTGCAGCGTCTGCGGGTCGCTAATGTGCCGCGCGTCGGTTGTGTAGAGCGCTGCGTACTTGATGTCGAGGGCCAGCCGCACGCCCTGCAGGACTTGCTCGGGTTTCTGGTATGCGCCGATGACGAAGCCGTCGATGGTTTTGTGCGTGGAGGGACAGTGCAGTTGGACGCGACCCATGGTTTGGTTTGGCTTGGTGCGCTGTCTCTTTTATGATGTTTTTTATTGGATAGGATTTTGTTGTGTATGTGGTATTGGGAAGTGCGAGTTGCGCGTTTGCAAGTGCAGATTGTGGGTGGGTGAGTGCAGAGGCGAGGCGGATAGGTGCAGCGTCGTGATATAAAAGTGAAGGAGGAGAGACTAATAATTTAGAATCTGAATACACAGCGCCATTGGATGCACCGAGGGCTTGTTTGCTCACCGTGATGGGTGAAGGAGAAGTGGACTTGCAGTCAAAGAGATAGAGAGAGAAGCTGCAGATGCATCAAGCAAGTACTTCAAGGGGCCGTGAAAGCTGCTGCCTTCACATTGCGTGTGTGAGTACCCCGTTTTCAACGGAAAGTCGTAGAATCCCTACATCCTTTTTCTTATTCATCCAACAGTGTACATGCCCGACAAGGCCGACCGAGCCGTCTCAAGTTCACAGCAAACAAACAACACCACCACCACCTCACTTGGATCCGCCAACCTCAATCTCCACACCATCTTTAAACTGCGCCTCCAGTGCCTCCTCGCCACCCTCAGTCGTCGGCCTGCACACATACCCCGCCACACTAACATCCCAGTCCTCATCGGCCAGAAACCAAGTGACCTCTCTGAGCGGGCGGCGCTCAACCTCGTTGCCCGCCGCATCCTTCACAATCCAATAGATCCACAGACTCTTGCCCAGCACGTCTTTCTCGCGCCGCGCCTCAATCGTCGCGCCGGGCTGCGCGCCATCCACAAACTCGGGCATCGGCACCAGCGACCAGTCGGCCCACGTGTCGCAGCCCACCGTCGCTACATACGGCTTTCCGTAGTAAAACTCAATCCCCGTTTTCACCCATTTGGTCGCGTTGGCTGGGAGCCCCGGTTTGGTCAGGTGCAGCAGGAGTCCGGCTTGGTCGTACTGGCGCAGCTGGGCCGAGGGCGGCAGGGCAAAAGTTAGTCTTGCGCGTTGGAAATCCGCGAGCTTGTAGGTGGGCAGCTGCGCGGGATATGTCGAGGCGTTGAAGGCGTTATGCGAGGGGGGCTTGCGCCAGATGTCTGTTCCGGCGGGGGCAGAGAGCGTGAAGGGCTCGACAGTCGTGGTCGTGGTGTTGGTTGACATAGTGGTGGCTGCAAGGGTGAGGTGTATCAAGAAGCTGAAAAGCATTGTTTGTTACCGGCTCATGAAAAGAGATACAATCACTGGCCTTTTTATACTTTGTCAACTACACGTGCGACCGCGACCCATACATAGGCTACATCCACACCAGCCCTGTGTGATTGGCAGAATGTCGGAAGGCATTTTAGTTTACGTGCGATCTACCTCTGCCATACCCAGTTACCTGTACCCTCACTTGCAGTGGTTTCGGAATCCCAGACCGGTACTCCGATGCTATTACACACCACAGGGACGGTAGCGGGGGATCAGGGCAAGAAAGCGGGGTATCTTTGAGCGACGAAATGCGAGCTTGGTGTAACGCTAACCGTAAGCTTAACGATTCTCACAAGGCATATGTCTCGACACCCTAGAGAGCTTGCTTCAACGGCTAATACCCCATGCTGTGAGTACCAAGGTTTCGTCGATAGTGCGAGGTGGGTGGGACGCGGCTTACCACAACGGGTGGCCGAATGCGAGTTTTGCTTGGCATATGGTCATCAAGGCCAACGACACAGAAAAACAGGATGGAGGAACTCAATTCCCGCTGGCACCCGCCGGACACGTGTCTAAAGTTACAGGATCTTCTGCAGTCCAATGGGTAATTGTTTTTAGTAACTTCACTTGGTCTCTCAGCGGAGGTCAGCACCAAACACTCAACCCTTCACTCCATGTTGAAAGTGCGCCGGCACATTCATTCGCAGGTATTTACAACTCAGATGCTCAAATATTTCTATTTCTTCTCCTCTTTCGGTGGCTCTGGCTTCGGTGTTGGCAGCTTGAACTATTCTTTTGTTAGGCATTGGAACCAAAGAGTAAACTGAGGCTAAACTCACGTTCTCTGGCGTGAGATCGTCACCCGGACCAACCTGCTCCCATGCAGATGAACCACCGCGGAAGTTCCTGAACGCTTGCGTCATCTCAAGAGGCTCCACGACAATTCTCTTCTTCTCCTCGTCATATCGGATCTCGGTGTATCCCGTCATTGGGAAGTCCTTTCGCAGTGGGTGTCCATCAAAACCGTAGTCTGTCATGATGCGCCTCAGATCGGGGTGTCCCACAAAGAAGACGCCAAACATGTCGTAGACCTCGCGCTCGTACCAGTTGGCACCATCGTAGAGATCGCACAGACTAGGCACCGGGGTCGCCTCGTCAGCGTACGTCTTGACTCTGATGCGCGAGTTATGGCGGATGCTGAGCATGTTGTAGACGACCTCGAAGCGCTGGTCTTTGGTGGGGTAATCGACGGCAGTAATGTCGGAGATTTGGGTGAATTCGGCTGCGGTGTGGTACTTGAGGAAGGTAAAGGTAGGGATGATGCCCGCGGGAGGGACGTAGATGGTCAATTCATCTTTCCACACCGAGAATCTGCATGACGGTCAGAGCCTGCTCTGCACCCCGAGATTGAGAGACCAACTGTTGGACGTATTTGGGCAGGCATGACATGATGTACTGTCCGTACTTGTGCAGCGCCTCGCCCCTCTCCTTGTAGTGGTCTGCCGGGTTGACCACCGGGGCCTTGAGCTTGCCGACGTCGTCGCGGGGAGCAAACTGCCAATGCCGTTAGAAGGGACAATTCATCTCCAGCCATGTTTCTTTGCGTACCCGCATGTTGGGTGTCTCCGAAGTGGTTCCCGCAACTTCCTTGGCCCGCAGAGCCGTCGAGGCAAAGGTGCGCACCGCATTGCGGGAGCAGCTCGTGGCGCGGACGGCGGCGCCCAATGGCCGGCCAACAGCGAGCCGCATAGCCATGATTTGCGAAGAGGGTGGAGTGAGGCGACGCGATGCAGCGGAAAAAGGCGACTTGGGGTGGTGATAGCGTCGACGTCGTGAAGTTGGTAGCTCAACCCGCGAGACGCATGATTATGTAATAGCGTCGAGTGGAACCTTGTGTCCCATCACGCAGGTGCAGCCTCTTAACCCCCATCACCTCGAGTGGATCTCTCTTACAGCGACAGCGACAACCCGGCCGGCGTTTATTTGTGCTTCAGCGATTTCCTTCTGGCCCTGCAAGTGCTCCACCCCCAGGCCCTTATCCCACCCCCGCATTTATACCACGACTGCCCTCGGGCGCCACCGTTACGCTCAACACCGCTGCGTGCACTACACACCCATCTTCCGCCATGTCTCGGATGCACCAGGACCAGTTCGTCGACGATGACGAGGAAGAGTGCTGCCCCCTCTGCGTCGAGGAGTTCGACTTGTCAGACAGGAACTTCCGCCCATGTCCCTGTGGCTACCAAGTGCGCTTCCCTCGCCAAAACTCGGTGAAGGCACCCGGGGCCGCCATGCTAACACGCGTCGCCAGATATGCCAGTTCTGCTACAACAACATCAAGACTACCATGAACGGCCTGTGCCCCGCCTGTCGCCGGCCCTACGATGACTCGACAATCGAGTGGAAGACCATCTCTCCCGAAGAGTGGGTCCCCTGTTCCCCTCACTCTTCAACACCCTCTGACATTGGGCAGAATGGCACAGCACAAACAACAGATTGCGCAAAAGGCCAAAAAGAATGCACAGATGCGGCAAAAGGAAGCACAGAAAGCCGAGGCCGACTCGCTCAGCCGGAAGCACCTGTCTGGCCTACGTGTCGTCCAGAAGAACCTAGTGTACGTCACGGGTCTCACGCCGACAATACGTGAAGACGAACTGCTCAAGACGTTGCGCGGCGATGACTACTTTGGTCAGTACGGCAAGATCTTGAAGATCGTTGTGAGCAAAGCCAAGGAGAATGCACAGCATCAACAGTCTGTTGGTGTCTATGTGACCTTTGCTCGCAAGGAAGATGCCGAAAGATGCATCAACGCCGTCGACGGCTCGCAAAACGGCGATCGAGTGCTGAGGTATGCGGCCACTCTTTGTGCCATGTGTCATCTACTCAGCTCACGTCTTACAGAGCACAATTTGGCACGACCAAGTACTGTTCGGCCTACCTCCGCGGCGAAACATGCAACAACCGCAACTGCATGTTCTTACACGAGCCCGGCGAAGACAACGACAGCTTCACCCGCCAAGACCTGTCCATGATGAACTCGATCCAGACCCAACAACCGTCCCAATCCTCGACGTCCCGGGCTGCGCCTCCCGCTCATCAAGGGCCTGCTGTTGCCGCTGCAATACCAATGCACAGACAAGATAGTACAGATACTTCGAGTTCGATACACGACGCACCTGGCCTACCCGCCACTGCGAACTGGGGCAGTAAAGCAGTCTTGGAACGTCGTGCAAGTCGTTCAACAACTGCTTCAAATAATGCTAGCCCCATGGTCACGAATGCAGTACCTGCACAAGCGTCAAAAGCACCCAAGCCAACAGAGGCACCAAAAAAGAAGGGCAAAGAGAAGGAGAAAGAGAAGGAAAAGGAGAAGGAAAAAGAAGAGGACAAGGACAAGGACAAAGAAAAGGAGAAGGAAAAGGAAAAAGAAAAGTCTCCACCAGCATCAACTTCCGCAACGTCACAGTCCACATCAACATCTTCACCCTCCACACGACCATCCAAACCCCGCAACAAGGATTTCCCAGACTTGTTGAAGATCATCTGCTCGCCCGATTTTAAGTTTGTTTTCTCAAGTGCTATTCTGTCAGAGGAAGAGTTGAAGGCCATTACCGAGTTTCCTCAATTGCTCGATCCCAATGGTGGTGCAAAGCGTCGCGCCATGAAAGAAAAGGAAAAAGAACTTGCTGTACTGCGGGAGGCTGAAGCTGAAGCCAAAGCAGCATCCCAGCAACAGGCGCCGGCTGCTGAACGCGAGGACAATGAGGCAACGGCAGGTGGTAGTTTGCAACTGGGCGGAGAGCCTGAAGACGGACCCGAACCCAGCACCAACCACCTCAATCAGCATGCGATTGCACCGCCTGGCCAGCAAAGCTTTGGTGGAAGCCTGTTCGGGCAAAGCACGCCTTTGGCAGAGGACTTTAGCACTCTTGGGTTGAGCAACCGAGGCCTGACACCGCAGCAACAACAACAGTTGCTGCTCTCTAACTTCAAGTCTGGCAACCAGTCTACCGGCCTCATCGGCAACATGCAAAACGCGCAGGCCCAACAGCATGGAATGACTGGAAATGCTTCGAGTCATAACAGGCACACTTCTCGCTTCAGCTTCGCCAACGACAGCACTTCGGCTTCTGCGAATGTGCAGCCTGTGGCGAACCAGAAATTGATGAGCCAGCAAAACTCAATGATGCCCAAGAATGCCAATCAGTTCAACCCAATGTCCCAGCATCAGCCTTTGGGTGGACAATTCTTCACCAACGTGCAAGGACCACCTCCAGGACTAAAGCCTACTGGCACACCTCCTGTCAGCGGAACTGGTATGTTCGGTCAAGGTCACGGCTTTGCTACTGGCGGTCTGCCCTACGGGACAGGCGCCACGGCAAGGAACAACAGTGACGCCATGTATCAGGATCTGCTTCGCAGCCGCAACATGGATGGTGGTTCTAGGCTAGCTGATGCTGGAAAGCGTGAGTCAATGTTTCCTTCTTTTCTCAATCAGCACCCCACGACCTCCACCCCTGCCCCTGCCCCTGGCCTTCTAAGCTTCCCTTATGGGCCTTCGCCTGGCGCTTACCAGGAGTCTGGTTCGCAGAAATCCAAGAAAAAGGGCAAGAAACATAGGCATGCAAACACTTCCTCGTCTGGAGGAGGTGGTCTTGCCGATGTTCAGGACCCGAGTATCTTGCAGGCAAGGCTGCACCAAGGCGGCATGACTGGCCAGGGCCTGTATGGCCAGGGTCAAGGCGGATTTTCTTCGCTTTATTCCAACAACAACTACGGCGGCGCTGGACGATGGTAGTCGTTTTATTCTTCTACATATTGGTTGGCCTGCTGGCCAGACATACTGTCTTAGTACGATTTGGAACGGTGGCTGCATGGCGTTTTGGTTTATACAGCGACTGCATCGGCACACATTCGGTGCTCCGACACTGGGATGCCTGGCGTTATGATTGGGCTTCACGGTCACTTGTCGCATTTCTCGACACGGGCATGTCTTCACGGCACTTTTTTTACCTTCACGTTTCCTTCTTATCTTACTTTTTGTTTTGTCATACCTGGGTGGTTTGCGCTGTCCTGCCGATGCAAAGGTCAGCTTCTCTCGTCGTCTTCGTCATGGTCACCGCATGTACGTAACTACCCCTCCTGCCGCCATCAAGTCGGCATGCTTACTTTCTAATACAGAGGTGGCTTTGTACTATTGTCTTGCCCTTCATGTGACGAAGATGCTCGAGAGACAACCTTTGCAATTTGATGTACATTACTGTTTTGTCAGCACCATCTTGGCCATCGTCCGGCGACCGCTGTGGTCACCACAGCCCACTCTCGTCGTTGAGATTGTTTTGAGCCACGTGGAAAGACTATACTGACGTCGTGTAGATGAGGTACCGCTCAGTGCAGAAGAGCAAGCATCTCTCAATGTCGATGCCCTCGTTAACGACAGCGATAATGAGCCTATACGAGGCATGCCCATGACTCCAATGAGCAGCCATTTTCTCGAATATCCTCGTCGTTCCACTCCCAGCATACCGCCTGGCTTTACCGCTCCAGCTATCCCAAAGGCCGTCATGGATGAGTCGCGTGTCCGACCTGCATCTCGACCAATGTCCCGGACTACTTCATCCACCATCACACCGGCTGTGCCAGTTGTGCCAGTTACGCCAATCCGGATAGCGACACCCAGCAGGGCTGCTACAAATAAGCAAAAGGGTGATGCTTCCGAGCCGGCGACTCCCAAGGCAGCCACTGCTTCAGCCAGAACTCAGCCCACAACGCCGTCGAAAGCTTCAACGCCCAAGGAGGCTGCCGTTGCACCACAAACTCCCAAGGAACCCACGCCAAGAGAGGCTTCTACGAGAGCCAAGGGTGAGACTGAGACTCCAAAGAGCACGCCGGATACAAGAAAGTCGGCTTCAGAGATGGTTACCAAGGATACACCAAAGACAAAGGGCGCCAACAAGAAGAACCAATCCCAGGTACAAACTACTCCCAAGAGGGAGCCACAGAAAGAACCGGTTCACACGCCGGTTGCCGTTGCAACACCCACATCTTCGGCCAAGCGACAGCCCCCAGGAAAGCTCGACATTGTAGCGGCGACGAAAGTGCCGGCCAGTGAAGATTCACCAAACGTTGGACCAGGAAAGGTTGACTCCCAGACGAAGAACGATCGCTCTGTGCCGGCAACAGCAGCCAGTTCGGTGCCTCCAAGTCCCGCTGCAGCGGCAACAGGATCGCCAATCAAGCGGGCGGGAGCGCCGAGGACTTTGCGTGTCGTGGCAACACCAAAGACTGAAGTGCCGCCGCCCTTGTCTGCGATATCAGCACCGTCTCTGCCTCAAATACCCACTGTTGACAAGCTTAGGTCCAGGCAAGCAAGCATCGCCTCGGTGAACCTGCCGGGCACCCCTGCAAGCGACTTGATATCAGATACCGCTTCGATAACGTCAACATCTATTTCGCGCGCAAGCTCTCCCCCTCCCGTCGCTGGCAAGGTTGGGACTGCCCCTGTGAGGAAGAAGACCAAGTCACAGGCCAAGAAGGACCGACAGGAACGCAAGAAACAGATTGAAGAAGAGCAGCTGGAAGATAACAAGTCTGACGTCGAGGTTGTGCAGGCTCCTATCGTTGGTCGCAAGAAGAAAGCAAAGAAGCCATCAAGCAACGCTAAGCCCGCCGTGACAGCTACCAAGAATCAGGTGGCATCGCCCAAGCCCGCTACGGTCGAGGAAGAGCACCCGGACCCGCCAGTCGCTGCAACGCAAAAGGCGTCGCCAGTAAAGGCATCGGCTGCAGCTACCCCTGAGCCGGAGCCAGATCATGAAGACTCAAAGGACAAACGCGAGCACACGGCACAGTCGATTGTGGCTGATTTGCAACGGACAGGAGAATTGCTTGCGTCTACTCTTGAGTTCTTCAAACCGCTCTCGTCGTCGCTTACCCACACGTCTCGCAACACGCAGGCAGGCAGTGTCATTGCGCCTCAAGACTTGAAACTACACTTTTCAGAAGCCGACCTAGAAACATTGGCGAAAAAGAAGCCACTTCGTGTCAACAGCCAAGATGGAAAGCCTGACTCGAGAACTCTGATCACTCCCGGTGGGAAGTTTTTCTGGGGGCTCAGCGAAGAGCTGGAAACAAAGGCACTTGAGCTTGAAAAGCGCATCGACGAACTCAAAGGACCAGTTCGTTTCCACCCTCGAAAGCAGGGCGCACACGGTCATGGTCTGGCTACACAGCCCAACGATGTTCTTCCAGCCATCGCGACGGCACTCAAGGAAGCAGGCAAGAAGCTAAACACTAACGGTGGACAGCACATGCCGAGACTCGACGGCCAGTCTGGGCTATTGGGCTCAACGAACCTTCCTCTACCGCCAGTGCAGGGACAAGAGGGGTCTGGTACACAGGTCCCGAGTCCACAGCAACAGCAGCAACAGCAGCAGCAGCAGCAAACACCGGCCGATGCTGGTGGCTACCTCAACCAGTATGTTCTCCCTCGCACCGACAACCCGCCGCCCAACCAGCCACGTCCGGAGATGGCTGCGGTAGGCGGCCCACCTGGCGCAGGCACTGCGAACATTTCTGTCAACGCAAACCGATTTGCCAAAGCAGCCAAAGCGGTGGTCGAAGGAGGCGCAGTGGGAAGCACTGAGATTGATGGCATGGGATTCATGGCTGCTGACAGACTGGGTGGCGTTTTCGTCGAGGGCCTTGAAGCACTCGTGGGTGCAGGACTCGGGTACCAGCCAACACAAGAATTTGGCCTCAACCGCAATGGCAACATTACACTTGGCCATGGTGGAGGGGGGCTCGATATGCAGGGCTTGATGAATGCGATTGAAACCACGGCGGGCATGGGTGGCTACAGCGGCAACGCGAGACGAGGAAGAGGCAGTGTGCTAACCATGGAAGAAGCAGAACAGGCAATGCATGCAGCGAGAAAAGAGCACGATGTGCTAGAGAAGAAGCTTGCTGCGCTCATCAAGAAGAACCGGAAACTGGCAATGGGGGCTGCGAAGTGAGCAAGCCAGGGTGTGTGCGGGGGGCTGGTGAGAACAGTCTTGGGCCCCAGCAGTAGAAGCAGTACGACAATAGCATATGTAGCAGTAAAGACAGGCGCTTGCATCATGTGACGATGGCTCGTGTCTGCAGCGATATATTTGTGTCCAGACTAAAGAGAGTCGAGTACAAAAGGGGTGAAGTTGAGCTGGGCCGACTCCGCCGATTCGCCGAGCCAGCTCACCGCCGACGTGGGCGGCTACATGGCAGGGTCCCACCAGCTTGTTCGTGGACAAGGCCAGATTCGCAATTGCTCTAGCACCACGCTTCTCCTGCCTCTGCCTTCTGTGCAGACTCTTCCGCCCCTCACACGCTCACTGCGCACCCGAGAAGACGTCGAGATGAGTCTGCAGCCGCCGTCGCTCGCCATGCGCTCCAAGTCGCCGTCCGGCGGCTCCACCAAGGCCGTCATTCTGGTACATGCTGCCCCAGCCCCAGCCATGCATGTCCCAGCCGTGTCGTATGCTCACACTGCCAGGTCGGAGGCCCTTCTCGCGGAACCCGGTTCAGGCCGCTGTCCATGGAGCTGCCCAAGGTATGCGCCGCCGCCTGCGACAGGCCCGCACCCCGCTGATGCTGCCAACAGCCGCTCTTCCCCGTCGCCGGCCACCCCATCATCGAGCATTGCTTCCGCGCAATCACAGCCGTCCCCGACATCAAGGAGGTCTTCATCGTCGGCTACTACGAGGAGTCCGTCTTCCAGCCCTTTATCAACAACGTGTCGACCAACTGGCCCTACCTGAGCGTCAAGTACCTCCGCGAATACCAGGCATTGGGCACGGCCGGCGGGCTCTACCACTTCCGCGATGTCATTCTCAAGGGCAAGCCCGAGAAGCTGTTTGTGCTCAACGCAGACGTCTGCTCGTCGTTCCCGCTCGCCGAGATGCTCAAGCTGTTCGAGGACAAGGACGCCGAGGCCGTCATGCTGGGCACACGGGTCGCCAACGAGGCCGCCACCAACTTTGGATGCATTGTCTCGGACGCGCACACGAAGCGCGTGCTTCACTACGTAGAGAAGCCCGAGTCGCACATCTCCAACCTGATCAACTGCGGTGTCTACCTCTTTGCGACCGAGTGCATCTTCCCCGCCATTCGCAGCGCCATTAAGCGACGGACCGAGCGCCCACGGCTGCTGTCGTACCCCTCCAACGAGAACCTCGAGTCGTCCTTCTACCAGAACGAAGACGACGACGACAGCAAGGAGAACGCCGTCATTCGCCTGGAGCAGGATGTCCTGTCAGATATTGCCGACAGCAGGCAGTTCTTCGTTCTCGAGACAAAGGACTTTTGGCGCCAGATCAAGACCGCTGGCTCCGCCGTCCCGGCAAACGCTCTGTACCTCCTCAAGGAGTTCCAGGCCGGCTCAGAAGAGCTCGCCGCTCCCTCTGCAAACATCCTGCCCCCTGTCTACATCCACCCCTCTGCTCAGATCGACCCCACAGCCAAGATTGGCCCGAATGTGTCCATCGGCGCCCGCGTCGTCATCGGCGCTGGTGTGCGTGTCAAGGAGTCTATTGTGCTTGAGGACTCTGAGATTAAGCACGACGCATGTGTCCTGTACACCATTATTGGCTGGCACAGCAAGGTCGGCGCGTGGGCTCGTGTTGAGGGTACACCAACACCCGTTACCAGCCACACAACCAGCGTCATTAAGAATGGCGTCAAGGTCCAGAGCATCACCATCCTCGGCAAAGACTGCGTTGTTGCAGATGAGGTCCGTGTACAGAACTGCGTGTGCTTGCCATACAAGGAGCTGAAGAGGGTAAGTTTGCGATTGTGAAGAGACTGAACTTGACTAACACGCTCAACAGGACGTTGCGAACGAGGTCATCATGTAAATTGGTGTGGTGTCGACGGATGCGATTGATCAATGTTAATGAAGGGGCAATATAGTCATCCGTAGTGGACGACCAGGAAAATGATGCGTCTGATGCCTCTGATGTTACTGAATGAAGCAATATACCACCATCTATGGGAATTCCCAGTCAAGCACTCTCCAGACCAGAATAGCAATGATGATCTTGCATGTGATACGGCCAGTGGGTCTGCGTTGTCGGTTTCCGTCTAGGTTCTAGGGTACGTGTCTAGACTCAATGGGGTATCGCCGCTCGGGCATTCGATGTTCTTAGTTGCACCGCCCACTGCTATCATCAGCTTGCCAAGTCACGCGACATCCAGATCACATCGTCACATCGCGATAGGCTTGACTACTTGGATAACTGGATACCGGCAGTTGATCTACATCTGATACACGCGCAGAGAGAGAAGACATCCTTTTGGTAGTACGCCCACGTATCAGGATCAGCCCACTATCAAGTCAATATCCAACAAAGGCCGTCTCATTGATTTAGAAATGTCTGATATGGAGGCCGCTCTGCACACCGCACAGCACACACAGTCCAATGGCGCTCCATCTGTGCCTCCCACAAGTCTGAATCCCACACCCGAGACGGGAACCCGGTACGAGCGGCCCATTGCCGCAGCACAACAAGACGGCCTCCCCATCATTGACATCTCGTCCTTCATGGACCCCAACGGCAGCCGTGAAGCGCGCAGCATAACCGCCAAAGCCATCAACGCCGCCTGCATAAACTACGGCTTCTTCTACCTTACCGGCCACGGGATCCCGGAGTCCAAGCTCAACGACATCATCTCGCTGGCCCGCGAGTTCTTCGCTCTCCCGCTTGAGGAAAAATGCAAAATCCAGCGCTTCGATGCTGGTAGCCCGCAGGGAGGCGACGGCGCCCGCGGATACCAATGCCTAGGCGAAAACGTCACGAATAGCCTGCAGGATATGCAGGAGGCTATCGACTGGTACCGTGAGTGGCCGGCGGACAAACGCGAGCCTGGCGATGGCGGACCGGGGAGCGTCAAGAGTCTCCAGGGCGTCAATTTATGGCCTGAGCGGCCGGAGAGCTTGAGGCCCATGTATGAAGAGTATGTGGAGCGTGTCATGGAAGTGGGGAAGGCGGTGGTGCATGCCATGGGTGTAGCGCTGGACTTGGGACCTCCTCGATCTAGTACTTCTGATGGCAGTGCTGTAGACGAGGAAGACGAAGAGATCTTTGTGAGGAACTGTAAGGATTCCTTTTGGGTTATGCGTATGATTGGGTATCCGCCACTGTCTTCGCCTCCTCCTTCATCTTCATCCAGCAACAAGAGCAACAACAACGACGGCACGACAAACCCAGATACAGAAGACATATCCCAATTTTCCTGCGGTGCTCACACAGACTACGGCTGCGTAACCCTCCTCCTCACGGACCCCACGCCCGGCTCCCTGCAAGTCCAGCTGAAAAACGGGTCGTGGCTCAACGCCGACCCGCTCCCCGGCGCCTTTGTCGTCAACATCGGCGACATGATTGAGCGCTGGACCAACGGGCTGTGGAAAAGCACGCTGCACCGCGTCATTCACCGCGGCACGCGCTACAGAGTCAGCGTCCCGTTCTTCTACGAACCCGCGTTTGAAGCCGTCGTCAGGCCGCTGGACAAATGCGTAAACATGACGGTGCGGAGCACGGGCGACAAGAGAATTCATGCTGGAAGCACCTATGGCGAGCACTTGCTCACTAAGGTGTTTAGTAATTTCTACTATAGCAAAAGGACGGATTGGTGAATCGAAATTAAAAAAAAATTCGACGGCGGAGTACTGATGTGTGATCAACTTTGATATAAAGCGCTTATATACATATACATGGACATTACACATTCGATTCATGACGCCTTTTTCTCGTTTCTCGGGGTAAAATAGCACTTGCACTTCCACTTCCACTTCCACCACTACAACCACCACCACCACCACCACCACCAGCAATAGCCTCTTCTAAACACCACCCTTGAGATAATAATCAAGCGGATACCCCAACCAAGCGCACTGCTCCACATCCTGATACCCGGTACTTTTACTGGGCCAATCCAAAAACCGAATCTCATCTCCAGCTTCGCGCGTCGCATCCACAGTCTTCCACTCTCCGAATCTTCTCGCGCCCTCGCTCTCCCGCGCATACCCCCTCACATCGAGGTAGCTGCGCGGGGGATTTGGATCTGCGCTGCGGATAAACGCGGCAAAGTAGCCCGTGGTAAGCTGTTCGCTCCAGAGATCCTCGTTGTCGCGGATGGTTTTCAGGGTGCCGAAGAGCCAGGCGGTTTCGGAGCCGTGGAGTCTGAAGTAGGGGTTTTGAGGGTTGTTTTGCAGCGGCCCGCCGAGGTTATTCGGGTCGTAGCCGCCGGCTGTGCGCTCGAATTGGTAGAAGTAGGTTTTGCTGAAGGCGCGGGATTGGGCGGCCGAGTAGACGGTGGATTGGTCGGCGCAGCGGAAGGTTTTGTCTGTTGCGATGCGCTGCGAGACGTTGAAGGAGTCGAGGGTTAGGTTGCCCGTGTTGGTGAAGGGGAAGAGACCCGAGGCGATGATGCGCTGGGCCCACGTGCTGTTGATGTGGAGGGCTTCTTGCAGACCTTGGGTGTAGTTGGAAATCGGGGTTTTGGGATACGTGGAGAAGGAGGCGCCGTCGTCGCGCACAACGCCGAACATGACAGGGATGTGGGCGGTGCTGGCATTGCGTGTGGTTAAGATGAGGTTCGACGTGTCGACGTAGGTTCCGTCCTGCACGACGTAGCGGGCTACTGTGCTGAAGTTGACAATGGACGTGGCATTGGCTTGTGTGAGACAGGTAATCTGGGTGGACAAGTCGGTGCTGTTGCAGCCTGCGGCTGCGAAGATTTGCTGGCCTGCAACCTGGTAGCTTTGTTCGATGGTGTAGTAGGTCGAGTATGTGGTTCCATAGTCGCCCTTGAGGCCCAGGGTAACACCTCCGCCGAGATTCGACAGGGCGATTGCACCTTGGAACTTTCCAACGGCTTTGGGTGAGCCCAGATGCACACGCACTGAGCCTGCGCCCGCAGAGCCACCAGCAATAGTGATTCTCTTAGGGTCACCGCCAAACGAGGCAATGTTCTCAAGGACCCAATCGAGGGCCAAGACCTGGTCCTGGATGCCAAAGTTGCCCTTGATGTCCGTTCCAGGAATGGCGAGGAAACCAAGGGTAGAGAGACGGTAGTTGATGCTGACAACCACCATGTCCTCCTTACTGGCTAGGTTTCCGCCGTCGGTGAGGGGGTCTGCCCCGCTTCCGCCTGTGAAGCCTCCACCATGAATCCAGAAAAACACTGGCCGGAGGTTTTTCTTGGAGCCAACCTTGGGAATGTACGGCGTCTGGATGTTGAGAAACAGACAGTCTTCGCTTCCGCCACTGCCCTGGAGACACTGAGAGCCGTACTTTGTCGCTTGGATAGTCTGACCCTTCTTGGAGTAGGGAGAAGAGTACTTGAAGCGCTTGGGTGTATCCGCATAGGGGATACCAAGGAAGCGGAACGATTTTTGATTGCGGTAGCCGACAAATGTGTTGCCTCCAGATGCCACGGAGACAGTGCTGCCGCTAACAGGTCCGGCACTCGCTGATCCATTGTTGGCGGATTGCGTGCACAAAACTGGCAGTCTTTTCTGAGAGTCCATGGAGGAGTAGGTCACACGGCCGCCCACTGAAACAACTCCATTGTCGATATGGTAGCCCTTCTCGGAATCGGTATATTTAGCGTAGTCCTGGTATGAGAGAGCATCATTGAAGTCGGCCTGGTATTGCTGAAGAGTAGCCTTGGTGATGAGCTTCTCGTTGAGCGTAGCGCAGGCTGCAGCTGCGCTGGCCTGGGGAACAGGGTCGAGGATAATGGCTCCAATGTGGTTCTTGTCGTCTGATCCGTTCAAGTTGTTCTGGTAGACGAGTGTCAAGGAAGACTGTGCATTCGACACACCGGGAGTGATGTTCACCTCGGCCACAGGTGAAGCTTTAGAGACAGCTACCAAGCCAGCTGCAGCAGCGGCAACGAAGGTGGTGAGTATAGTCATCTTGGATGTCCAAGCCAGCGAGGAGACTTGGCCAGCTGCTGAGGTCTCATTTTCGTGCATCCTGGCCTTTTTATACAACACCGGTAACCCGGATGGCGTCCGGGTCCCATATGAACAACCGTAGCGCCCGCTCTAGTGGGTGGTTGTTTGCAAGAGGCTATTCAAAATAAGCCTTTAAAGCGGGTTTACCCCAGGAATCGATTAGGTAGATCGGTTTCTAGGCAGGGGCACTGGCAAAATACTGGAGACCGTGGTCACGATGTCGCGGATCGATGCAGTAGTCGTGCTCATCCGACACTTTTAGCCTAGGCATTGTGACATCCTGGACTCCACGCGAGGTTTCCAGAGCTCTTTCAGGACGAACGCGTAGCCGCCGACGAATTGTCATAGAAGATAGCAATGCCATAGGTGTAGCGATGTGCATTGCAGCGATGTCATTAGGGCCGCAGTTCGAGGTCACGACTAATGCCATTTAGCCGTTTAGCCATCATGTACGGTGGCTTTGGGAACGGTATCATAGACCTAACAGTGTTGCCGGGGTTAAAGTGGAGTTTACCTGGGGCCGGTTGTGGGGTATGGGTGCTTAAATTCGGGGTTGTAGAAGGCTATGTGTAAGGCTGGATGATGTGCTGGGGCGGGGAATTGGATAAAACAGGGATTTGCGTAACCTAGTTTAGCTCACTGTTGTCGCCCCGGAGCAACACCTCCCACTCTTCTTTTCAGCAAGCTTTCTCAAACTCGCGACAAAATAGCGCAAGGAGATTGTATTTTCAATCCAACGTAAAGGCATTGAGTCGGGTTGCAAATTGCGCAAGGAAGAGGTATGCGTTGCATATTGTCAGCATGTGCGGCTCTGGCTTTTAATGGGAGCGTTGCGATGCTCTGATCTTCTTTTCTGGAATGCCGTCTTTTGTGTCAATGATAAAACCCCGGTGTATTTGCTGCCGGAGTCATTTTCTTTGCTAATTCCCGGGCTCAACGAATTTAAGTTGGCGCAAAATTGGTGCGGGTTGGCGCACGTTGGCAGCCGTTGGGTGCTTGTCCGGATACGAGTGGGAGATGAACTGCGCATTTAATGCCCCTCGACGTGTTTTTATGACGTAATGCCATGACAGTTGATTCTCTCTTCTTCTGCCTGAATAATGTCCCTGAGGCTCAGCTTTTAGGAGCAACGTGGCGTGACACGCTAGATGTGTCTCAACTGAGCCTACATGTCAAGTCGCTCTCCTGGGGGCATTCGGGCCATATATGTTTTGCGCTCATATGTCCTCAGCACAAGTTATGCCGAGGTCTCAACAACCGTACCGGATTAATGCGTCCAATACTGTTTGAGTCCTGTTGTGGCGTCGTGGCGCAAAATTGAAACATTATATCAAGCATCTCAATAGTAAAGTAGAACCTTATTTGCATCCTTATTTGCATCTATCATAGGGGGCTTAGGCCAACACTGCAGTTTCACTGTACGATCCGGGCCTGAGAAGGAGATGTCAGCATGAGGGAGCAACGTTCCGAGATTGGAACATAGCCACAGTGTATAGAAAGGCCATGGGTGTCGCCAGGTACAGGCCGCATAATGCTACAGTAAGCTTTTGAGCCAAGCGCCTCTGAACATGTGTTCATGCAGGTCGTCTTGTGTTACTCATCCTCGATATTTTGATGCCCAGCTGAATACACTGTTAACCGATCTCGGATAGACTGTACCTATGCATCATTCACAACAGTCCGAATGGCGTCTGTGTTGCTCTCCGTTACTAATCCCAAGGTCAAGGCGTTCTATAGCTCAGCCACGGCGACAGCTGGGCGAGTTGTTGATTTATGAACATAGGCCGTGTTTGGTGACATCTCTGATGCGTTCTATGTTTAGCGTTAATGAGTAAGACGGAGACAGGCGCGAATCTCTGATTGTGGAGCGGCAGCTAACCAACCACGGCGTGCTAGTACATGGATGGCTGTGACAGCCAGCCACAGTCTGGGTGGCTCCAACGAGGACTATCAGTATCCGAAGTGGACATCAAACAGCCACATAGGAGGTGTTGCGATTTGCCGACATGTCGGCAATGTCGTTTGATGGCTGTGCAGACATAGGCTGCGGCACCAAACAGCCGAACGAATGTGCCTTTGAGTCGCGTATACACCATGCGCCACTGTCGGGTCTGCAGGCCACGTCAACGACTACTACTAGAAACATCTTCGCAAGCTCCCTGCGCGGTCACACTGGCAGTGCTGTCATACCGGTAGACCGCCACAATGCCGTCGGCGTCCGTTTGACCTGCTGGTAAAGCTCGGAAGCTCGGATCAAAAACAACAGCAGCTGTCAGGACGGGGATGGGATAAGTTGCGATCCGATATACGCGGGTGAGACATATTACTATTCCGACACATAATTTGCCGAGTTGTCCAATAGCAAAACTGGATGTTAGTAGGGTGCCTAACCACGAAGCCACACGGCCTTGGACAAACACACAGCGATCTGCGCGAAAAAAAATCAGAAGACGAGAGGCCGGTCCGCAAGTCGTCCGAGCGCGGGATGGAAGAGAGTAAGAGTAGCAGGCAGTGCAGCTGGGAGGACGGCAAGACTAAGGGTAGCGCTGTTATGCCAGCGTCTCAGGCATAGAGAAAACGAATACAGCGTTCCATGCTGTATGTAGGAAGGAGGTGTGGCTGCCCGCAGATGTGGATGTGCCCTCGCCCCTAGGGTGTCGTGCCGAGCGCTTCCGTCGCGTGGGTCCGCCATGGCCATGCATTGCTTGAATCCTACGGGGACGATACGCTAGGAGTGGGAGATGGGCTGACGGTAGCTGGCGCAGCAGCAGCAGGCGCTGATTGTTGAAGAGACGGTCTGGTATGGTACGGGTGACGACAGTGGGGTGACGACACGGATGGAGCTGATGGCGGTGATGGACGTGGTGATTAGTACCAGGACGGAGATGACGGTGGCTGTGAGGGCGATGAGCGAGGTAGTCAGAGACGGCAAAGGCAAGGCAGCCGGCAATTCGGCAGCCGAGATGGAAATAGAATCGGGCCTAGCGGCATGATCGCCAGGGCGCAGGAAGGGGCGCTCCAGCCACAGCCAAAGTGGCTAGAGTGCGCCGATGAGGTCAGATCCTCCCCATCCTCGCTCGCGCGTTTGGAGCCATGCAAAGCCCGTACGTGGGTCATTCCGCAATCAGCCGTACGCGTTTGAGACCATCATTTAAACATGGCCGTCAGCCCATGTCACAGCGGCCCTCCACCATCTCGTGCTCCCTGTCCTCGCCCCCCATACTCGACTTTCTTCGCCGTCTGGCCGTTTTGACAAGATGAAGTTGTCTTGCGTCGTGTCTGCCTCGGCATTCACCAGCCTCGCCGCTTGTATGTAATCTCCCCATGCCGTGTCTTCTGTTGGCCGCGCTGACGTCGACACAGCATCCGCTATTGTTCCTCGGGATGCCCGAGTCGTCCCCCCCTCAGACTCGCTGGAGTCGTGGAAGCGTGCAGCTCCACAGGCTCCCAATGGCTATGCTCCCGCCAACGTGACTTGCCCTCAGACTCGCCCCAGCATTCGATCCGCCGCCACTCTCTCCCAGCAAGAGACAGACTGGTTGAAGAAGCGAAGGGCCAACACCATCCAGCCCATGCGCGACTTTCTGCAACGTGCCAACATCACAGGCTTTGATGTGGCAAAGTACTTTGACGCCCACAGCAGCAACACCTCGGCGCTGCCCAACATCGCCATCTCAGTCTCTGGCGGTGGATACCGCGCCTTGCTCAACGGTGCAGGTGCACTGACAGCTTTCGACAACCGAACCACAAATGCCACCAGCCGCGGCCATCTCGGAGGCCTGTTGCAGTCGGCGACCTATCTTTCAGCCTTGTCTGGCGGTGGCTGGCTAGTGGGCAGCTTGTTCGCAAACAACTTCACTTCCGTCGAGTCCATCATCAGCCAGGGCCAGAACACTTCCATCTGGCAGTTCCAGAATTCGCTGTTTGAGGGGCCACCCACAGAAGGCGTCCAATTGCTTTCGACAGCCAAGTACTTTGACAACCTAGCCAACACGGTCGAGTCAAAGTCCGACTCGCCAGCTGGTCCCTTCAACACCTCCATTACCGACATATATGGCCGAGGCCTGTCGTTCCAGCTCATCAATGCATCCGAAGGAGCCCCTGGTATGTATACGAGCACGCCCTGCACTGCCGTAAGCTAACACATCTAGCCTATACCTTTTCCTCCATCCAGGATGGACCCTACTTTTCAAATGGAAACTCGCCCATGCCCATCTTGGTATCGGACGAGCGTGCCCCAGGAGACTTGATCATCTCTCTCAATGCTACCAACTTTGAATTTAACCCATTTGAGATGGGCTCTTTCGACCCCACAACATTTGGTTTCGCCCCGCTCAAGTACCTGGGCTCCAACTTTACTGCCGGACGACTTCCCCAGAACGAATCGTGTATTGCCGGATTCGACAACTTGGGTTTTGTCATGGGAACGAGCAGCTCCTTGTTCAACCAGATCTTCCTCCGCTTGGACACCTTCAAGAATATCCCATCGATTATCAAGGACTTGGCCACCAAAATCCTCACCAGGATCAGCAGAGACAACAACGACATTGCTGACTATTCGCCCAACCCTTTCTACCTTTGGAACAGCCAGTCGAACCCCAGTGCCTCCAACAAGCGCCTCACGCTCGTCGACGGTGGCGAAGATCTTCAGAACATTCCTCTCAACCCCGTCATCCAGCCTGTGCGCAACGTCGATGTCATCTTTGCCGTCGACTCGTCGGCTGACCGCGAGAGTGGCCCGGGCACAAACTGGCCCAACGGTACCGCTCTCGTCGCAACCTACCGTCGCGCCGAATCGCCCATCATGAACAAGACATCCTTCCCCTATGTTCCCGGCCAGGACACCTTCGTCGCACTAGGCTTGAACAACCGACCTACCTTCTTCGGCTGCGACAGCAAGAACGTCACCAAGGGCAACAACATCCCCCCTCTGGTGGTGTACCTCCCGAACGCCCCCTACTCCTTCTTTTCCAACACCTCGACCTTTGACAAGCTCTCATACACGCTCGAGGAGCGCAACAACATGATCCAAAACGGCTACAACGTTGTGACGCAGGCCAACTCGACACGCCAGGGCGCCACCAACTGGCCCACTTGCGTGGGATGTGCCATCCTCTCGAGGAGCATGCAGCGCAACGGTGAAACCGTCCCCGAAGTCTGCAACCAGTGTTTCAAACAATACTGCTGGAACGGCACCACAGTCGAAAAGGCACCCGCATACGACCCAAGCCTCCTGCTCACACAAACCACCACCGCAAACAATAAGAGCGCAGGCGCCAAGTCCATTCCCAGCATCTCTGGTCTTGCTCTCGTCGGAGCAACCCTCGTTACATACCTGATGATGTAAAAAAACAATTACATATTTTCTTTTGTTTACCTATAGGAATGAAAGCGTTTTTTCCCGCCATGTTTTTAGGGCCTTGTATTTTCCCTTGTAGTTTTACGAATACAATTGCATTTTTTTTTGTGACAGAGTTAGTAAACCCCTCATCTTCTCTAGCACGCTCCTTTCAAAACGCATTTAAGACTTGCTTCGCCTATGATAAGTGACGCATTACATACAAGGCGCCATGGGCGTGCGGCTCTTCGGCAGCAGCCCTGTCGCGTCCCTGCATAAGGAAGACAGACAGGGAGAGAGAGGCCCGAGGCGACCGAGAGTGCCCCGCCATGTCGCGCGCGCCTACGGGAAAAGAACAAGTATCTGCCCCGCCACAAAACATGCAACCCACCAACACACAATGGCCGCTGCAGCGCTCGAAGGCGCACCCGTCCTCTCGACGCCCGACACGCACCTTTTCGAAGACCCCACGCCGCCCATCGACGCGGCGAAACTGTCGCACGAGCAGATTGCGCTCACGTACGAGATCGAACGCACAGTCCGCGAGATACGAGAGGGGCAATGGAAGAGAATCGCGCTGCAGTTCCCAGACCACATGCTCTGCGATGCTCCACGGGTATTCGAGCACTTGGCCCGCGGCTTGAAAGCACGGAGAAGGCAGAATGGCAGCGGGGCTGAAAAACAAAGACTGGATACAACAACAACAACAACGGCAGCGGAAGAGCAATTGAGTGCAGACTTGGAGAAGACGACGCTGCAGGAAGACCATGATGGCGCTGATGCAGACGAAAAACTGTTTATACTAGGCGACTCCTCGTACGGCGCATGCTGTGTAGACGAAGTCGCCGCCGAGCACGTCGACGCAGATGTTGTCGTACACTACGGCCGTTCGTGCCTGTCGCCGCCCTCGAGACTGCCCGTCATATACGTTTTCACGGCGCGCGAGCTGGACGTTGATGCAGCGGTATCCACGTTCCAAGATACGTATCCCGAGAAGGATAAGAAGGTCGTGCTCATGGCGGATATCCCGTTCTCGCACCATATCCCCGCGCTGCACCAGCGCCTGCGCGACGCGGGATACACGAATCTGTTCGCCACAGAGATACTGCACCAGCCGGCTTCGCCGCTGCCAAACCGGAGCGTGCCGCATGATGTAGTCGGATCAGAAGATGCGCTGCGCGAGTATGCTCTGTTCCATGTTTCGGATCCGCCGACTGCGCTGCTTCTTGCGCTGTCGTCTCGCGTCGCCTCGATCCATATCTACCCTACGACAACGACTCCAGCTTCTCCTTCTGGCCCTACCGCCTCCCTCGCAAGCACAGCAAAAGCTCTCAACCGGCGCTACGCCCTGTTAACGTCGCTCTCCACAACCCCCATCTTCGGCATCCTGATCAACACGCTCTCAGTGAAAAACTACATGCACATCCTCGCGCACGTGCAGCGCCAAATCGCCGCCGCGGGCAAGAAATGCTACACGTTTGTCGTAGGCAAGGTCAACGCGGCCAAAGTGGCGAATTTCAGTGAGATTGGCGGTTGGGTCGTCATCGGCTGCTGGGAAAGCAGTCTGATTGAAAGCAGCGACTTCTGGAAGCCCATGATTACGCCGTGGGAATTGGGACTCGCGCTGCAGGGCGATGCAGAGAGGGTGTGGACAGGGGCGTGGGAACCGGATTTCCAGAGGGTCCTGGATGACACTGGTAAACATGAGGGAGAGAAGAACAAGGAGAACAAGGAGAAGAATGTTGAGCAAGAGGCTACGCTGAGAAATAGGGAGAAAGAAGCCGGGCAAATGCACGACGAAGACGTGGATGAAGATGAATCTGAACCCCCGGAATTCGATCTCAGAACGGGCAGATATGTATCCCATGCTCGGCCTATGCGCTCCACAGCTACAAAAGCTGTCGCTGCTGCTGCTGCTGGTTCCACTACGGATTCCTCGGCACCATCAGCAACTAGCTCGGCGCTCGCAAAACGAGCAACAGGCGATATCACAGCTGTCGGTGGTGTAGCATCTCCCGGTGCAGAGTACCTGCGTTCGAACCGTACGTGGCAGGGTCTGGGCAGTGATTATCGAGATGGAGAGGACCAGGAAGGCGCTGAGCATGGTGCGAATAGAGCGGCGAAGATGGAAGAGGGGAGAAGCGGGGTTGCGAGGGGGTATGTTGTTGGCGGTGAAGACACAAGGCATTGAAGTAGGAAACGATACTTTTTCTGTTCTTGTATGTAGTATTGGTACATGTAAAAAAAAGAAATTCCCGGTTTTGAAAGCAGCACAGATACTTTGTGCAGTTTTACCAGAGATGTATCTTTCTTCTTTGTGATTGCTTGTATATCTTCCTCAGCACATGGTACTTCTACATCCATTATCATCGCCTGTCATATGGATGTCTTCTCAGCGCATACCAAGAGCGACTCGCGCCCAAGCTGTCTCCACATCCTCCACCAGCACAAGAAAATCTTCGCTTTCAAGATGGCGGAATATGAGATCGTTGATCATTACTCTCCGTTCTTCATCAGACAGCTGCGTGTATGCTGCTAGGCGCTGTGCGTCGCTGGCTGCTGTACTGAACGCGTGAGAATCTTGCTGGATAGCTTCTGATGCTGGAGGCGTGACAAACGAGTGATGAAGCTGGAAGATGGGTTCTTGTAGGCTGCGGGCCATGGCACCTGGTGTACTGAGTGGATGTGGCGATGGAAAGGCGCTTGAGCTTGATTTGCCGAATGCCAGAGGAGAAGACGTTGGAGACGATGACGTGAAAGGCTGTTTTTCGATGCGACTGTGGGGAGAGGCCTTTGCACGCTGAAAGGTATTCTGATCTTGATTTGGTGTGCGAGGAGCCTGCTGCATTGTCTGTTTTCCACGATTCTTTTCAATCACTGTGGGCTGGGGCAGAGGAGGTAGGTCGACATCCTTGCTGCTGGCGCTGAGACTAGAGCTGGGTCGTTGAACAGCTGTACGCGATGGTAGAGCAGGAGGGCCCATGAGTCCGGTCAAGGGTCTATCAGAAGTCCGCGCAGTATCGCTTCCGGATGAACGTGGCTCTGATAAACGCTGGAAAGGGAGTTCTCGCCGTGGTGGTAGCGTTTCGGCGGTGTCTGGGCGATTGAAGAGCATTGCAGTCTCTGGGCGTTCGGTAGATCCCTGCGCTACATCTTCGGTTGTCGAAATTTGCCTATCTGCTGAAAAGGAAAGGTTGTAGCTACGACCAAGTATATCGGCTGTTGCTGAGTGAGGCCGAGGGAAGAGCACGGGTGGGTTCAGAGGGCCAGAAAAGGAGCTTGATGTGAGAGCGTCTCCTTTGCTATATCCCAGAGTAGCGGATAATGGACGAATAGGTGAGGCTTCCTGCGGTCGAGATTCGAAAGGGCTGGGTGCATTGGCAGCTGTGTGAGGTCGACTGGAGATTTCTGCGAGACGCGAGGGGGGACAGGATAAGCCGCCCCCTGTGATAGTGCTGCTGCTAGGCTGCTCAGACAATACGGCAGCTGTAAGGCCTGGCCTGGCAGATGGTGCTCTTGCTATAGCTGTACTTGGGCCTGGAGCTGTGGAACGTAACGGGGATGAAGGGCGGTTCTGCTCACTCATGTGAAGGCCAAGCTGCCGAAGCCGATTAAATGCCGTGTCAAAGTCTGTGTCTGACTTGAACTTTAACTGAATACGCCGTACCTACAACCATCAGCACCACGAGCTTAACCACTCATCTGTAGCTACCTTCTGATCCGGCAGTTGCCATCGTATAGCAAGCAAAGGACAGCGGATGATGGCTGAGATTGGTAGCTGTTCGGCCTGCATCTCTAGCCCGCGGTGTTGCATTTGGCGTTTCAATTGCTCTCCTTCAGCCACAAGTCGCTGTATCTCAATCACTTGCTGCATGTGGAAAGTCAGTGAACAAGTCGAGTAGATATGGTAAGTAGCTGTGTGGATGAGGCATCGGTCGTGTATCTCGTACCCGAACCTCTGTGCCTTGCACCACCTTGATGAGCTGAGTGTTGTCACGTGCACCATAGCTGTCTATGACAAAAGTGAGGTCGTCTGTGTATTTTTGCCAGTGGAACTTCTGCTGGGTCGCATCCGCGTCGCGAGCGGTTGACAGGCTCGTCAGCGAAAGGGATAGCATGGTGGTTAGTGGCGGCTGCTTGTTAGTCAAGATCAAGAAGCTCGCACGATGGGCAAGACTCGGTATTCTGTGCGTGATAAAAAGCAATTTTGTCGTCGCACTGTGCATGTGTGGACGTGGTGGGGGATGCTGCGAGAGAGGGAGGAAGTCGCGACTCCGGGCCGGTCACGTGAAGCTGGCGCTAGATCAACGCGAGGCAGTTGGTGCATGCTGGAGTTCTGGTGTTCGCTCATTCATCATCGCGACCGACGCGCGCCGCGCATTCACAAGCACATTCGCCATTGCGCCTGACGCACCGCTCAAACCACGTATGCATCGCGATCCGTGCCCCCGTAGTCCCCAGTGAATGCGACAGGCGCAACATGGCCCCAAACAAACCAGAAGAATCATCCGGCGAATCCACCCAGGAACGGGACGACTTTCTAAACACCTTGGCCGCATACCACGAAAAGCGAAGGTGCGTCATCTGGCCTGCCTCTGTGCGATGAGCGCATATTGATTAGACGTGTAGGACTGTCCTGGACCGCGAGCCCAAGATCGGCAGCCGGCACATCGACCTCCATCGCCTCTACAAACGCGTCAATGAAGAGGGAGGATACGACAAGGTCTCGGATACCAAGAATAACAAGCTTGCGTGGCGGAGGATCGCTTCGGAATTTCTTCCCAAGAGCCCCAGCATAACCACCCAGGCGTTTTTGGTCAAGACGGCCTACTACAAGAACCTTGCGTATGTCAAGGCTCGCGCCTCACCCTGCGGGCCACCCCAGCTGATGTGTGTACTAGCGCATACGAGATATCCACGATCCACAAGCGCGACCCACCGCCGCCTGAAATCCTCGAGAACGTATCTGCCAAGGGCGGAGACCTGCTGAACCGCACCCTCGAGAACTTCCAACCACCCAGCAGCCGAGAAGCGGAGCGGCTCAGAGGAGACGAAGAATCCGACGACGACGAGGATCTTGACAAGACGCCCAAAGACGACAAGATGGAAGTTGATGACCCGGCCAGCCTCAGCCGCTCGACACGCTCCCTCCGCCATGCGCCGCCCCAGCGAGTCCTCTTCCAGCCCGAAGCCTCGACGCGCCAGACTCGCCAGTCAACCGGCCACCTCAACTCCTCGCAAGCAAACGGCTACGCCACCAGCGGAGCAGCCATGACGATTGCAAACTACGAGCCACGGACCGCCGTGCCAGCCACCATGAAGCCCGTCGTAACCCCGTCAAATTCTCTCGATACATACATTCAATCGCGCAAAAAGTACATTCTGAATAAGAAAAACAGGCCGGTGCCGCTCAAGGGTATGATGCTGCCCGGTACTGGCTTTCCTGGACCCAGCATCTACATTCGCGCTCTCAATGCGTTACGGTCAAAGCAGCCCGAGGAGGAGGCATACGCTCTACATCATTTGGTTAAGATTTCTCATGAGCGGGGCGACAAGTACCGCTTTGATCAGTTTCCAGGACTCGCAGAGGCGCTCATAGCCAAGGTCATCGATGTGGGATCGCTCTTCTACGACGTCAACTGGGAGATTTCATACGTCGAGGAGGAATTCAGCCATCCCCAGACGCTAAATGGCCTGTCTGGCACCCATGATTTGCTTCCTCGCATTCAATCTCTCCGCACGCTTGATATCCACGATAGTCTTCTGCCCGAGCAGAGTGCAAAGTCGCTCAACATGATCAACGAAGCAGCGCTCATCATCCGAAACATGGTCATGCTGAAGGAGAATGCTTTGTTTGCCGCACTCGTGCCGTCCATCCAAGATATGATTGTCATTGTTCTCAACCTGCCCATATACTCATCGGTAGTAGAATTGCAACACTACGCCCTCGAAATCGCCGAGCAGCTGACAAAATACTGGGTCCTGGACTCCCAAAGCCCGCTCTACCGTTCCCTGCTAGCACAGATTGATTCAGACGATCGCGGTCGCATAATCACTTCCTTGAAGGCACTTGCACGAATAGCTATGAATCTCGAAGCTACAAACAAACTCACCAAAGTGCCGACCAAGACTCTGAAGTCAATATGCGATTGGTTGCTAGTAGAGGATGAAGATCTCCGCATAGCCTGCCTGGACTTTCTCTACCTGTTTACTGGTTTCCCAGATAATGTTGAGACACTTGTACATGAGGTCGACATTGAAGGCGTTATCAAGCAATTAGTACGGCTGCTGCAGTATGGTGCGATCGTCTATGAGGAACGCAGAACTACCCCAAAGATTGCAAAATCATCAACTCCACCGGAAAACGCACCAAAATTGTCCTCCGCCATCATTGACCATCTAGTCACCCTGGATGAACCAGAGCGAAGCTCGCAATGGCTGAGGACTTGTTTCGAAGAGGACCCCGCCGGCGAGATCACACAAATTCAGCTATGGTCAGCATACAACGCAGCCTTCTCAGAGCACATGACACATAATCCAGCCTCTTTCAAAGCGCTCATGCCGGCAAAGGACTTTATTACAAACGTTTCAACTACGTTTGGCGGAGCATCCGCTCAAGTTCTAACGGTAGGCGGACAGCCAAAGTATACCATCCGGGGCATACGGCCGCGTTCCGTGCCAGTCGATCCGAGCACAAAGAAGCCGTATATGCGCTGTTGCTGGCACCCGCCAAGCTTACTGAACGGCCACACCGATTCCAAGCATTCCACCGCAAATGTCGAGTGTGGTGAGTATGCGTCCGGTGCGAGATCCATGTGGGAACATGTCGTTAGCACACATCTTCAAGTTCCTCGTGATCAGGAGACAGGCCAGTGGCTGCTGGAGCCCAAACCGGACATTGACATGGAAAACGGAGACGTGGTTTCGGCGGCTCCACCTTCCAGGTACTTTTGTCACTGGGGTGGATGTACGCGTTTCTCGCCCAATGGCACTGAATCTGCGTTTGAAGCTGGACAGCATTTGAAGACGCATTTGCCAGATACCAGCATAAAGCATGCCATCCACGCAAAGCATAATCGAACGCCGTCGGAATCTCGCCCCGTGACCTCTCATTCCCAGGCACGACATGAGAGCCTACAGCCGCAATTCGGACAGCCTGTCGGATTGGGCAGCCTGGGCATGAACGGCCGGCCTCAGACTTCAACCAGCTCTGCCAGCAGAAGCGTCCTTGGTAGAGAAGACGGGTCAGGCCCACAATCAGCACCCAACTTCCGTTACTACAACACAGCGACAGACGAGACCAACGATGCCGCAGGCCTTCCTCTGTCCTCAGTCCTCGTCCTCCGCAACCTTGCTCGCCAGCTCAACAAGATCCCGCCGCCCACGTCGGTCACGGAAATCACATCGCCCTCGTCTCCGCACCACAAGCGCACATTCAGCGCCAGCGAAGGCAGCCCCGAAGCCGCGCGACGCGCGACAACGGGCGGCAAGAAACCGCGTCTCAGCGACGCCGTGTCGGAGCAACGGCGCGAGAACGAAGAGCGAGAAGAGCAAGAAGCAAAGAATGCCGGTTGGGTGCCTCGCATGTTTACCCCGCTCAGAGACCAGATTGCCTTCACCGCCAGTCATAATCTTACCCTCAGGAACTACATTGGTGGCTTGCTCAAAGCCATTGCTGAGGGGGGAGGTTGATCCAAGTACCCTTCAAAAGAAGTAGTTTAAAGAAAGAAAGAAAAAACATACTTGGCGTTTTCAACTGGAGAGTGTGTGTGTTTTGCTCCATTGCTGTGTGTCTCTTTGCTTTGCTATTAGCTTTCCACCATCGTGTACTGTGTCGAGTTCTAGTTGTAAGCACGGTATCCTATCAAGCTCGTCTGTGATGATGCATGGTGCTGCACATATATATGCTTGCCAACGAGGAAAAGAAACGCATATCCCGATCAAGCATCACACCTACGAGACAATGACAGCGAGTCTGACAATGCAGCAGCAGCATAATCATACACATACGCGTGATACCCACATCACAAGTAAGCCCTCACAAAAAAAAGAAGAGGCAAAGCAGATATTATCATATGTACGACGACAACAGTAAGCTTCACAAAGGGAATCGAAAAGTGGACGTGAGATATTATCCATCTGACAGACAGAGAACAAGAACAAGAGAGAAAAAAAAAGATATATAATTCTTTCAAATGATCCTCCAGGCTCCACACATGGAAAGAATTAGAAAACTAGACCCAGAGAGATGAAAGAAGGAAAGCAAAAAAAAAGCCGGGAATCTAAACATACAAGTTTCCCCCCCCCCCATTGCCCCATGTCAAGACCCAAATGACTCCAAACACATGGGTAATAGCCCTTACCTCACACAGTTAGACACTCCAAAAGAGAAAAGTCCATGAATCGAGTAAATATATATAACACGAGATGCGGCTCTAAACACACGAATAATCAACCTGGTAAACATGGATTGGACTTGTGAGAAGGAATCAATGAATCAGAAATCCTCCTTGTCTTCAAAATGCTTCCGCATTTCATACACGGACATGAAGGGGATGACGAAAACGGGGTGAACGGGCTTGACGACATCGGCGTCTTCCCAGACCTTGTCTGCGGCATCATATCGGGCCTGCATTTTCCAGTGGTAGGGAGCGCCCAAGTTGCCTGTTCCAAGAGACTTGTTAACGGATTCGTCGTAGAGGTAGTGGTGCTGTGCGGTGCTGAGGCCTGCGAGGTTGTAGCAGGTGTGGTAGGCGTCCGAGTGTTTTCCCGGTTTGTCTTTGAGGCCGCCTTTCTTCTCCTGGCACGCGGCGAGGATGTAGCGGCCGAGGGCGGCGCGGTTCCACAGGCCCGTGGTGGTGGCTGCTTCGACAATGGGCCAGCAGCCGCCGACCCAGTGCGAGTAGCAGCCGTCGACGAGCTTGTTGGTGCGGCCGTTGTACCCGCATTCGGGGGAGCATTGCCGCGACGACAGCCATGCCGTCAGCAGGTCGACATCGAGGTACTTGTGTAGAGTTTGCTTCGGGGGCCCCAGGATGGCGAGACAGCCTAGGCCGCAAAATGCGTAGGCGCCGTGAGCCTCATTTCCTGGCGCGGCCGAGATGCCGCCGTCCCACGACTGGCAGCGCGAGACCCAGTCGCCGAGCTTGTCGGTGAAGGTGGTCAGGCCGTGGTTCCGAGCGGGGGCATCGGGGGGCAGCTCCATTGGGAGGTTGGTGAGAGATAGGATGACCATTGCGCAGAAGGCGCCGCGGATGTCCTTTTCGCCGCCTGCACACATGGTGAAGCCTCCGTCTGCTTGCTTCATTCGGCCGAGGAAATGCCAGAGTGTCTTGCGGTTGATGGTGTCATAGGCTGCGTCTCCGCCGGCTATGGCCAGCGACAGCGTCGCTGCATATGTACATGCAAGGTGCGCATACTGGCCGTAACCACCGCCAAAGCCTCCCTCTGGGTGCTGGGCTAGCGAGAAGGTATGTGCCACCCTGTTTGTGCCATTGTTAGAAAAGATTGTGTTTCGTGGTTGGAAAAAAAGTAGTTGCATGTCATCGGACAGACAGACAGAAGGAAAGGATAGCCGGACCTACCTTTTCTGGTAAGTTGAAATATCGAGGCCCAGCGCAGTCATGCTCTGCGTAGCCCAGTACACGATCCACGGGCGGGCAGCATCCACGGTAGCGGCTTGTGGTGGGTAGTCTTCGATAATCTTCTTCAGCATAGCCTCGTGTCTGTCGCGCTGAAGTTTTGGTATGCCAAAGGCGTTGAGGGGCCAGTCATTCGGGTTGCCCTCAAGGTACGGCAGGATGACTGCTGACGTCTCTTCCTCTACCCTGGACGAGTCTGTGACGAGCGAATCCTTGATTGGAATCCTGATGCTTTCTAGATAGGCTATGTTTGCCTGCTCTTCTGCCGTGGCGGTGCCCATGTCTTCGTACTCGCTGTCAAGCGCTTCGTCGGAAAGCTCTTCAATGCGGTCTGATTCGGGAACGATTTCCTCCAGGCGAGCCGACGGCGCCTGTGCAGAGAAGCGCAGAGGGAGAGCCATCCTTTGCACGTGCACGTTTGGGGGTGCGGGATGTGGTTGGCTTGTTACTGGGGGGGTTGCCGGTGCGTGGCTGGTGCGAACAATGGCTTTGCTTTGCAAGGGGCGCTTAGTATTGTTCCAAGTAGAGCGGAAGAGCAGGTACAGCCACGGGAAGTGGGTTTTTGTCCTGTCACAAGCTGTACTGGAGTGCAACAACCATGGTGCAGCTGTGGCCGGGGATTGCCCTTTCCGGGTTGCCGTCAATGTCACACAGTGAAGAGGAAAGAGTGGAGCACGTGGGGAGCAATCAGATGGCATGCTAGCTGGCTTGGCGCCCAAGACTCGACGTCCCCATATCGATAGCATCTCGCAATCCTTCGCTTCGTCCAAGACCCCCGTATCTTATCTTAGTTTGACCTCATACCTGGAACATACAACAAACCCGGGAGCCTCAATCCGAAGGCCGCACGCCCGCCATGCCCGCCAATTCTTCTCCGACAATCTCGCCTGCAAGCTTCAGCGGCTGACACTCCTGCAACACAAAAAGCATCCTGCACCATTCGTCCTTGTTGTGGTTGATCCACTGGTGCATGGTCCCGCGCTGAATGGCGACGTCTCCCCGTTTCATCAGGCGCTTCTCGCCGCTGTCGAGCAGAAGCTCGACCTCTCCCTCGAGCACGCAGCCGTAGTCCAAACTCACCGTCCGGTGCATGGTGCACACGGTAGCGGGAGGAATATCAACGTGTCGCAGGACGGTTCCGCCAGAGACAACCAGGCCGGGCGCTTCTTTGAGGTATCGGTCATACACCTCGAGGTCTTTGTCGTCGCTCATGTCGACGGGGAATCCTTTGGTCGTGTAGCTGAGGGCAAACGCGATGCCATCGTCGTTGGGCTTCATCTCGCTCTCGTCGCTAAAGGCATGGCTGAAGATGGCTTTGCCTTGTTCGTTGTGGGTGGTGACGTAACGGTTAATCTTGGGGAGTGCGCCGACGTGTGCCATGTTGAGTGTGGTTATGGTGACAGGTGACTATGATTTCTTGGGGATTAAGAATGCTGGGCGTGTTATTCAAGCAATGCAGGACCGGCCTTGTTTGAGTTGTGTATGGCCATGTTTCCCCAATTCTCGTTTATATGCTGTGCACTCCGTCTGCCTGCACTACACGGAGCGCGGGAGATGGGCGCGGAGCCGAAGGCCGAAGGCGCTCGCTTCAACCCAGCATTCCCGTACTCCGAAATCTACGGAGAATAGGTGGATTTGATTCGAACTGCCACAGCCTGGATTGGTGCCTTTTACCGTGTCTCGATTCAGGCTCAGTTGCGGAGGATGTGACTATTCTGTTATCATCGTATCGTTGACCTGCGGCATAGGCATATACTCTCTCCATGGCAAACCCGCCACGCGGTGTTTTGTAGTTATGTAAATACTTATCCTCGTCTATTTTGTGGCAGAAGAAGCATTTATGGGCAGCCTTCCGAATTCCTTCGTTCGCTTGTCGCTGAGAAACACTGGTTTGCCACCCCGCAATGGCGTAAGTGCACTTCTGCACATCACTCAAAGGTGATTGGAAAAAAGCAGTTGGTCTAGTATATCTTCTCCTTTTCCCGAAAATCTTTTACGTAGTATTGAAGGAACACAATCCGGGCAAATGTGTTTGGCGGGCACTGAGGAGGTTGGCAGGACGACCACATCCCCTGCCGACCGTGGGAGTCGAATGTACGGATTATTAAAAAGGCTCATTTCGATAGTTCGGCAACAGCATGACAGTCTCAAAAATAGAGGGTCAACCCATGTTTATTTCCAGGCTGGCGGGACGTGTGACCAGAGTTTGCTGCCCGTTATTCTAGGACTGCCAAAGGCTGGTCTCGTCCCGAACGAGACATGGCTCAAACCTTGTTGTATCGGCGAATTGGTGTTCTTTTGGGGGGTCTAGCCAAAGACATTCAAGACACAGGGTCTGGGAATAGTAATTACACATATGTTGCTTGCTTGGCCAAGTGCTGTGAACGGGTCGACATATGTAGCTGAATCAGGACTGGACTCGTCTGCATGTGCTTGGAGCTGTTCACTGCCAACTCTGCATACCGATCAAATCTCCATTCTTTGCCTTGCATTGCCTTCACATCCGTGAGGGATATTGCGATCTGCAAGACACTGTGCCTAGTGCTGAAGAAGACATATCCGATAGTAACGAGGCTAGGCAGCGGCGGTTGATAGCGGAAAGTTTGGGTTTGGGATGACACTGACTCGTGACATGTGATGGCACAAGTGCGGGGGATTTACGGGGGCCACAGCATTGTTTCACGATGGTGTTGTCATGTGCCAACTGAATGGCTGGGAACCCCAGGATGAGAAAATGGGTGAGGGGTGAGGCACGCAGGGTCTCTCGATGCTGTCACGGTCCAGAGGGAAAGAGAGGATCGCCGCGCCTTCCCCCCCCACCCCCCACGACTTGCTTCCAATCACAAATGACGCCAAACACACCTCTCACTCTACTCCCCATGGCTGGCCACGACGCATCCACATCTGCCATGTCTTCACACATCACCATGATTAACGCATTGGCGAAATGCGCGGGGGGGTTGGCCCAGCCTCGGACGACTCGTTTGTGCTTCTCTACGCCACAAGCAGATGGATTACCGAGATGAACAACGGCTAACATTCCCAGCTTGTACAATGGTGATAATGCATGCTAAAAAGCAACCGTGTGCATGGCCCCAGGGTTGCTTTCATCTAAGCTCCAAGCTGAAGCGTCGCTCGATCGTTGGCAGAGTCCGTCTTACGTGCAGCTCAGCGAGGAGCCAACCCCACCGAATCGCCATGTTGGTCGTTCCGAGGTGGGCACAACAAGGGTCAAGTCTGGCCATTGGCCATGCAGCGGCTCCTCATACTACTATACGGGAGCGAGTTAGCATCCGCGTCTCGCCTATCCTGCGTTCGCTGCTACGTGGGACAATAAAGAACGTCAGCAAGCCCCCCCCATACGACGCCACCAACCAACCACCTCTGGCCATGGCGACTGCACGAGCACGAGCGACTGTCCAGCCACCCAAGATTCGAGGCCAGAGGGCTACTAGATGTCCAGTCACATGTGCCGGGCTAAGAGTAGGCCAGCTGGGACAGAGTAGCAGAGGGTCGAGCGACGATGTGCTACCAGACCATGGCGAAACCAAAAGAGACGACGGATGCCGTCACCTGGGGTGATTGGTGGACGGACACTTCTCGGCATGCGGCAGCCAGGGTGACACGAAGGTAATAGACGCACGAATGCAGGCCAGGCTTGGAGTCGCTGGTTGAGAGCGGCGATATGCCGGCGGAGCATCGCGGATGACACAATTGATGAAACGGCGGGCAGAGTCGATAAGATGGATGCAAGACATTACGCAAAATAGCAAGCTCGGAAGCGATGTTACGCAGAAGGGCGCTTGACAGCATGCAGAACATGCCGGAGTAGCAACGAGCGAGCGTCTGCAAGCACGAGGGCCGGCCGGCAAGTGGGCTCAGCGCGTGGATATGGCAGCGGCAGGCTGGAATCGCGGAGAAAGAAGCCATGACGATGACGATGTCATCTGTCTAGCGAGGCGTTCAACAAAGCGTGTCGGTGAGGGTCACTGTCGACGGCCGAGAGCGGTTGTAGAGGTGGCAGACCGGGTTGAGCCCGGGAGGCAAATACGGAACCTGGTCGAGTGTAGCATCCAGCAGGCCCACAGGCATTCGTCTCGGTCCATATGCGTGGAGGCACCCATGACCGAGCGTAGCGCAAGCCGAGTCGCTTGGCTGCATGCCGGATTGCTCGTGCAGGCCAAGGTCCAATGAGGGGCGGGCGGCGCGAGGGCGCTGGAGAGACAGCACAGTCGAGTCTGGCAGGGGGGGGTGGGGGGAGTATTTTTTTTGCTTGTTGCGGCATCCCCAACGCTCTCCTCCGCATGCTGATCGTAGGCGGACAGGGCCCGGAGTCTAACGCTTATCGGGTGTTATCGCATGTGGCTAGGAGGGCCCACGAGTGGTGTTGTATGTACATGGGCGGATGCAGATGTGGTTGGAACGGACAGGCTGGCAGGGCAGGGTAGGGCATGGCATGGCATGACGATGGTGCTCGTGGATGGCGGGGGGCGGACAGACAGACAAGACAGGCAGACAGGCGGGCGCGTCAGCGTGCGTGGGCATGGGGCGAGACAGGCGGACAGCAGTGGCAGGGAGACAGCAGGGAGACAGGGAGACAGGGAGACAGCAGGGAGACAGCCCGCAGACAGGCAGACAGACGGAGAGGCGGCGGGCGGCGGACGGCGGCGGTGCAGGCGATGCAGGCGGTGGTGGAGCGCGTCGGCGGGCGAGCACATTGCCGTGGTTCGGTCATGGCTGCGCACTCGCACTCGCTCGCTCGCGGTGCGCCGCCAGGCATGGCGACAGAGGCCAACGAGGCCACCGAGGCCAACGAGGCCTCTGGTCTGGTCTGGTCTGGTCTGGATGGCCGCAACTCTCCCGGCGCAGCACGCTTGAGAACCCTCGCTCACGGCGCCGCTCGTCAGGGTTTTTCTTTGCCCTCGATTGCGAATCGAGCGGACCGCTGCAGCGCTTCTGGCGCTATGCCAGCCAAGTGCAGATCTGGACGAGCCAGTCGTGTGGGGCTGGGCCTCACATACAAAAAGCGGTGTACGCTGCTTGGCACCGCCCGCCTACCCTCTGGTCGGCCCATCGCCCGCTTACCTTCACCGCTTACTATCAGCTCAGGGAGGCTGAGAAGACTCGAACCCCATTTCCTCTCTCCCGCCAGCCATGGAGAACCAACACATCGACTTTGACGGGGCCATCTACGCCGTAGACGGTGCCTTCGACCCTTCCTTCGACCCAAACCGCCAGACATACGCCTTTTCGCCCTCCTGGCCGCTGCCTCTCTCACCCGGCAGTATGCACCACCAACACCACCACGACGGCGCGCAGCCGTCGTCCCAGCACCACCAGACCCAGACGCAGAATCAGCAGCAGCAGCAGCAACACCAGAACCAGCGCCGCATCACCAGTGCGAGCGCCTCGACTGCACAGCACTCGACGACGACAACCATGGCTCCCCTCCACCAATCCATGGGCCTTGGCTTCCCCGCCGCCATGCAACCCATGAATCCGATGCTCGCAACCTGGATGAACATCAACACCGACACCAGCTTTGGCCAGGACAACTTTGCGCAGGGCTCCTTGGGCTTGGGCACCGACTTCAGTGCCACGTACGGAGGGCCCCTGCAGACGTCGCCCGTCGAGTTTGGCATCAACTCGCAGGTTATGCTCAACTCCATGTCCATGGCCCCCATGAGCTTCATGACGACGACCAGCATGGAGCTGCCCACGCTGACCACGGCGCCCTTCCAGATGGCGGATTTCCAGCACGAGTTCACCAACATGTCCACGACGCCCGACTACACGGGCAACTCCAACGTCGCCACGGCAAACAGCGTGTCGACGGGCTCGCCGGGCGAGAACTGGATGGAGATCCGCTCGCTCTCGAGCAGCGACAACGGCTGGGTCGACGTCGGCTTCAACCACCGCAACTCGTACGACTACTCGGACAGCTCGGCCATCATCTTCAACCCGGCCCAGTCGCTCCACATCCGCACTGGCTCCGACTCGTCCAACTCGAATCAGTCGGACGTGCCCCGCTCAGCGCACTCGTTTAGCAGCTTCGAGGACATCCAGTTCCCCATGCACTCGCCCCAGTCCGAGACGGACAACACGCTCGAGCTCGTTCACTCGCATACCCACTCGGACAACTGCAGCCACAGCCACGGCTACCAGCTCAGCGACCACGACTTCCCCAGCTACATCTCCCCCACTCAGTCGGTCAGCCCCCCCATGGCCCGTGTCGAGCCCATTACGATTAAGCAATCATCGTCCAACACGGCCTCGCCGACGTCGTCAGCCGTCAGCTCGCCCCCGGCCCGCCGCCGGAAATCACCCATCACGGCGACGGGATCCAAGCCCACCAAGACGATTGTCAAGAAGACGCCTGCGCACACCAACAAGAAAGACGCCACAGGCGAGAAGCGTGTGGGTAGGAGACGCGGGCCCTTGAGGCCCGATCAACGTCAGCAGGCTCACGAGATCCGCAAGCTCCGTGCGTGCCTGCGATGCAAGTTCCTCAAGAAGACGTGTGACAAGGGCGATCCGTGCGCTGGCTGCCAGCCATCTCACGCGCGTCTCTGGCAGGTCCCGTGCACGCGCATTGACATCAAGGACATTGCCTACTTCATGAAGGACTGGAAGGCCGATTACGAGCGTCACGTCAGCCTTGGCTTCTCCATCGGCAACATCAAGGGCTTCTCGACATCAGAGCGCCTGATCTACGTCACCCACGGCTATGGCCACTACCTGCCCATCATGGCTCGCGAGGTCTATGTCCGCGACGAAAAGTGCTTCGGCGTCGACTGGCATGAGACGCTCAATGGCCTCCATTTTGAGATCAACACGGCCAAGCTGTCTGCCGGCATGGAGGGCATCTCGCGTGCCATGCTCTCCGACTACCTCGACCGCCACATTGACGGCGGCTTCGAGCAGTTTGTTGACGAGTACTTTGAGGGCACCTACTTTGTGACGGAGCTCCTCAAGACGGCGTACCGCTTCTACTGCCGCGAGAAGCTTCCTGTGATCCGCAAGGCACTCAAGCTTGTCCTCGCGTACAACCTGACGCTCCACGTCACCATGGTGGAGGGTCTGGGTGAGGAGGACAACACGCCCGGCAAGGTCGAGGACCAGCAGTCCAAGTTCTCTGGCAAGACGATTGCCCCCGTCATGATCAACTTCCAGGTCAAGTGTGCTCTTGCCGACATGTGGCGTGAGCTGCAAAAGGACGTGCTCGAGGAGCTCTCGTCGCTGTACCAGTCGGTCTACAGCGGTGACAAGCTAAAGAACTGGCCCACCATCTTCATGCTCGCGGCCATCCTCTTGGCTGTCTGGGAGCTGATCCAGTTCGACTGCAACTACCGTGTTCCCGACCTCGCCGCCGTCAACAAGTTCTGCGGCGAGATGGAAGGCACACCGGTGGGTGTCATTGTTGGCCTCTTCTCGGCCATCTCGCAGAAGCTCCCTGCTTTCACCGAGTGGGACTCGAGGAAGCACCACCACCTGCTCAACTCAAATCCTGCCGTGTGCGATGCCATGACTGAAGTCCGCGCACACGTCACCAAATATGGTAAATTACTCTCCACCGCCGCACATGGCCCTATGCATGCTAATCCGTTCCCCCCCAGAACCATACCTCCGATCGAGAAGTGACTGCAAGTTCGACCGCCAGGACTTTGACTCACTATCCAACAAGTTCCTCTCGAAGCTCGTCATCAGAGCCAACTAAGTTTGCGTCGATTTGCGTCTCCCACGATACCATTATGGTTTAATCAGCAGGCTGCACATAATCTTCACGACCGACCATTTACGCGCGACTCATCTCCCGACAATACTCCGCAGCCTGCCTGCTCTCAGGGCACCCGATACATATAAACGATCCACGATTTACGTGCCCAATGCTTGCGACATCATGGCTGACGACCTTAACACCAACCGATGAACGACTTTGTCTGCATTTTGCTGCGATTCCCCGGTGTCCTCTGGATGCCAAGTTTTCTCTGCGATCTCGGCGCGATCAACGATACAAACAAGCTCCGGGCTCCCACGACATCCCAACTGCATCACGTTCGTTTAGTGGGCAACACCGGATTAACATTTATTTTATCTTCTTACACGATCCATATGACTTTTATTGACTTTCTGAACGGAGACGGCTGACGCATGGTTGCACAACCTCATGGCCATGACCACGATCACGACTATTTGATCTTTTGAAGCACGCGAGTAGGCAGAACCAGGACCGAGTCCTGCGTGTTCTTTTGCGATTTTATTGTTCCTTCCTTTATCCTGCGAGCAGACGAGGTTGGAGGCGGGGTCCCTGGATAGGCATCGCATCTCCAACACTCGTGTGTTGTCGGTGCCCCGGTCCATACCAATCCTTCAAGAGAAAAATTATCCTTTCCTTCTTGACGATTGTGTTATTGGCATAGCGAGCGAGCGGCTTGTTCTTTTTTTTCTTTTTCCTTGTTTCCTTTCCCGTCATCTGTGGCTTTGACATACTCCTCCAGCACCATTGGGTCTAGCTCTGGCAGACGCATGTGCTGTGAGTAAGCCATTTCTTTCAATTGAAAACGAGTATGTATCTATCTATCACTGGGCCTTGGCATGGAGTACGAAGCGGCAATCTATCTATTATTACAAATCATTAATATGGTAACAACGTTTGTGAAAATTGCTGTAGCGGCTGGGGAAGTGCATAGCGTGAGTCACTTGCACTTGGGTGGTCAGCCGCAACCCGTCGACTTGAGTGGTGAGGGGCAAAGGATCAGCCACCTCAGAAGCCGCCCGCGCGTCTGCAGACAGGATGCCGCATGAACGTGGGTCCTGTCTTGTCTCGAACGCCCTGTACTATCTCTCTCTCTCGTCCCGTCCAATAGAGACAGGCCAGCCGGCTCCATAAATAACCCAATCAAGCCGCTACCTCGAAAAGGCGGTGTTTCAAACCAGCAAACCATACATGCACCGCCAGCTGGGGCGTCTATCGGTGCATCAATCGGAGCGACTTTTTTGGGGGGGGGCTTTCTTTTCTTCTTCATCTTTTGCCTGAAACAAGGAAAGACCGCGCGGCGGGGGGCGGTGGCGGTAGAACACCGGAACGAAAAGAAAAACGAGTATAGTAAGAATGAGATGGAAATAGAGAAGGAGAGCCCTTTTTGTGTGTGTGTGTGTGTGTGGCTTCTGGATTACTTTTGTTTTACATCGTAGGTATTACACATACTTACTTACTTACTTACACCTAACTTGGCCAAAATCGCAATCGATTCTAAGTACATATCCTACATACATACCCGTCCGTTCCGTTCCCCCCGTCTTACCTACCTACCTACCTACCTACCTACCTACCTACTTACCTACCTTAAACCCCCCTTCGCTTCTCTTACCTTCTCTCTGCTTCTGTCTCTCTGTCTATCCCTACCTCCCTGCCGTGTTGCTTTATGTAGGTATGTAGGTATGTAGGTGTGTGTGTGTGTGTGCGTGTGTATACGTAGGTATCACCCACACCGCCCTTCTGGAGCCTCTCTCTTTTTTTTTGCCGCCCCCTCCCCCCCCTCTTTTCCCCTTTTGAGTGGTCCCCCGCAGCTCGCAAGCTCTCGCAGCCCGCGGACTACACTACATTACACTATGTCCAAGGTGGATTGTAGCCGAGCCGCTCCGCATCGCTCCGCATCGCTTCGTACCGCTCCGTGCGGAAAGGATGGGATGGGATGGGATGGGACAAGGAGAAGAGGGGAGGAGAGGAGAGGAGAGGGAGTGTAATAGAGAGGTCTGGGAAGGAGAATAAAAAGACGGGGAAAAAGAGTATGCGATAGTTTTCTCTTTCTCTTTCTCTTTCTCTTTCTCTTTCTCTTTCTCTTTCTCTTTTCTTTTCAGCTTGCCTGCCTATCTGCTTGCATATCTGCTTGCCTACATGCCTGCTTACTTGCCTGCCTGTCTACCTTTTTCCCTTTCTCTTTTAACGATAGATGGATAGATTGATTGAATTGCGGAATGCGTTAGCTATGCGTATATTTGTCCCCTTTCATCTATCCATCCATCCATCCATCCATCCATCCATCCATCCATCCATCCATCCATCCATCCATCCATCCATCCATCCATCCATCCATCCATCCATCCATGTTGTATGTACATGCCTTCTGTGCCGTGCCGTGTTGTTTGTGCTACTATACTATACTATGCTGTGCTATGCTGTGCTGTGCTGTGTTGTGCTGCGCTATGCTATGCTGTGTTGCGCTGTGTTGTGTTGTGTTGTGATATGCATAATAAGCTTAGTATACTTTGCATAGGTGGCATGTGTAAGGCCCTTTTTTTCTTTTTGCATGCTAAGTGGTGCGGGGGGGGGGTGAGCAAGCGTGCATGTATAGTATGCGTGTTTAGGTTTAGGTTTGGATTTGGGTTTGGGTATGTACGGTGTACGGGAGATAGATAGATAGATGTATGTGGGTGGGGTGAGCTAATCAACTAGCTAGCTAGCTGGGTATGTTGCTGGCCCAGCTTCTTGGTTTGTAGTTGTTGTTGTTGTTGTTGTTGTTATTGTTGTTGTAGGTGTGCATGATCTATGTTTGGAGTGTAGTGTGGGATTAGTAGTGTGCGTGTAGCCATAGCCATAGCTGTGCTTGTTTATGATATACATACATGGTAGAGTAACATGGATTAGAGGAATAGAGAGAGCAAGGGGAAAAGAAGAAAGAGAGTGAGAAAAAATTTATCTATCAAGTGTATGCTATACTAATACTAATACATATATATATATATACGGATGTGTGCATATAGTTCTATAGTAGTAGCTTTAACTTGGCACTGTATGCTATAAGCCATATACTCAAAACTATAACATGCATGCCATGCTATAACAAACACCACGCCTGATTCATTTACACGTGTAGGGATCAAGGACGTAGGACTGTGGCTATGTATATGCGAAACAGGGGAAGGATAGGGCTTTTTTGTATTCCTACCCCCTTACCTTTTTTTTCTTTATGGTGTTCTTAAAATAGGATGCGTGGATGCGTGGATGGATGGATGGATGGTGTGGTGCTAGACTCGCTCTACGACGGCTATGTTGTGTCTACTGTTTTACAGCAGTATATTGTAGCTGTGGCTATAGAGAAAAACTAAGAACAAAAAAAAAGGCAATGAAAAAGCAAGACTAAGTGGACGAATGGGAGTACCACGCAGGGGCATGTGCTAAGCGTATGGGGATACTAGGTGTGTCACTGTAATGTGTAGTGTACTACAGTAAGTAAGTCCAAGTGTAAATGTAAGTAAGCAAACCAAGTGTCGCGCATCCATGCATATGCCGTGTTACTCCTCCAAGCGGATGTGTATACGCATGGCAAGACAGGTACGACTATACCATGTAATTCATGCGCAGGAAGGTGTAAGTAGTACGGTGTAGTGTACCATACTCAGTGCGCGGTTTATCGCTCCTCCATCTCCTATCTTCTCTCCCCTCCTCCATTACCTCTCTTCACCGGAACCCCATACGCACCTACACCTACACACTCATACCTTGCATTCTCACATGCAACAAACAAACAAATCACATGCCTCGATACAACCTCCCCATCAACCTTTTTTTCGTCCCTTAATCCAACCGAATAATTTCCCGCCTTTTTGTTTTCTCACAGTAGGTGTAGGATCGCTCGATCCACGCGATCGGGCGATCGATCGAGCTTATTTTTCACATATTTATTTCCTTTTCTAGCTTTTTCCCCTAGTGTATTTTTTTTGTCGGCCGAGAGAACCCTGGTTTATTCGTGTAGTAACCTTAGTTAACTTATTTTACTTAGGGGGGGTATTAGCCCTGTGTGTGCCCTGTGCTTTTGAGCTTTGAGCTTTGAGCTTTGAGCTTTTTGTTTTGTTTGAGGCGCGGTCATGCACGGACTGTGGGCGGTGTTAATACTAAGTAGTAACAGTAGTAGCAGTAGAGGTGGCGGGAAATATTAAGACACTACACTAGTAATAGCACAGGGTAATGATGATTAGATGTATTGTTAGTATGTACATAGCCAGCTGGAGTACACCTAGTGGCAACGTAATGGGGTGATGGTGTGATAGCAGGGTTTGGGGGGGGGGTTGCCCAGCACCGAGTGAGCGACTTTTCCGGCATGAATAAACGAACGAACACGAACGAACGACCGACCAAGTAATGCCGACTATGGTTCTTGTCCTCGTGCTTTGCAGCATGTGGTGGCGTGCGCCGCGTGACTGCTGCATAACACCTAGACATTGCGTGGAGAGAGAGAGAACGCTGGGTCTGGGGCTGAAAGTCTAGGGGAGCTGGACCAAAGGCAACTGACTGGACTGGGGCGACTGGATTTAGAGCTGCACGTTAATTTAGCTGCCGCGGCACATGTCGAGTTTTCTCTGCTCTTCCATTGTTCTAGGGTATCCTTGATTTGTTTTTCAGGCTTCGAGGCAGGCGAATGGTTTAGTGTGTGTGCTAGTTGTTTAGTTCTTCCTGCCGCTGGTGGTGATGCGTGGTGGCGGGCGGGCGGGGAGGCAAAAAAGTCTTGTTTCCCTTAGTCTTTGCTTACCATGTAAGAGGGTGTGTAGGATTCCTATCGTTCGATCTCTTGCGTTAGACTCGTGTCGGGTAGGGTCATGACGGCAGTGGCGCTGGTCGTTGTCGTTGTCGTTGTTGTGGTGGTGGCATGCACGTAAACGGTCCATGCACCGCAATCTACTCCTACAGCATACGCATACACACACCACACTACACTACCCCACCTTCTCACCTGCATGCATTGTATGCCGGTATATACACATACAAAGTGTGTTGTACAGCACATCCTGCATTGCGTGACACGCGGGTATGTGCATCGAGCATGCATCTTCTCAACGGCTTTTTCTGACGCGGTTTGCTTTTCCTTTTTCTTGTGCTTCCGACAGAGGTTGCATAACTGGTGGTGTGTGCCCCGTTTGTGGCGAGTAGATGTGTGCTTGTGCATTACTTTGTTTGAGAGGGTGTGTGTGAACTGCAAGTCGTCTGCTGTTGAGGTATGCGATGGTGTTGCGGATATTGCGGTGAAGATGTGAGGAAAGGTAAGGTGAACTAGCGGCGTATTTTCCGGTGACGGTCGATAGAATCGTGGTGTTGATGAGCAAGGGATGGTATGTTTGCATTTGGAGCGGTCACCACCTATGGACCTCGATCAGTCTTTGACCAGCATCTGCTGTTGAATGTCCTTTGAATTTGGAAACACAACTCGTGACTAGGTTGGAGTGGCGAATTCAATCACCCAAGACGTCTTGGCGCATAGAACAAAACATATCCTGGCCCTAAGACATTCATTTCAACTCTAGTCAATGTGTCTTTCTAACCTTTCTTCTCTAGAAACCCTGTCTGGCCTTGGGCAGGTATAATTCTTCAAGATACTTTTCATCCTCGTCACTGAGCTTGAAGTGCACGTTCTGTACCGCCTCTTCAATCCTTTCCTTGCTGTTTAGGCCGATAATAGGACACACGCCCTTTTTGATAGTCCATGCTGTGGCGATGCATGCCATGCTGACGTTGTTCTTCTTCGCAACCTCCTCGACTCGATCAACGATCTTCTTGTTGTTATCCTCGTCTCTATTGCGGAAAAGTACGGACTGGACCTTGTCGGTTTCTGCGCGCTTTGTCGATCGATCATTCCAAGGACGGGTGAGGACACCGCGGGCGATGGGGGACCATGGGATGAGGCCGACGCCAGTGTCTTGACAGTATGGAATCTGGAGCCTTGTCAGAACGACACTCAGACGGACAGGATGAAACGTACCATTTCACACTCCTCCTCGCGGTAAATCAGGTTGTAGTAGTTCTGCATCGAGATGAACTTGTGCCAGCCGTTCTTGTCGGCAATGTTTTGCAAGGTTTGGAACTCCCATGCAGCCATGGAGCTGGCGCCAATATACCGGACCCAGCCCTTCTCAATCACGTCGTTCAAGGCCTTCATAATTTCCTCCCTGGGTGTGCCGCGGTCCAGACGGTGAATCTGCAGGACATCAATGTATGTGCCTAGTCTTTCCACGCTCTTCTCAACCGCGTCAAAGATATGCTTGCGGCTGAGACCGACTTGGTTAACCATATCGCCGTCGTTTACAGCCACCTCTGAAATCTGTATCGAAGGATCTTCTTCCCTGACACCAAAGTAGCATTTTGAGAGGATGACGACCCTGTTGCGTGGGATGTTGTATGTCTTCAGCGCCTTGGCAACAATCTTTTCGGACACGCCGTGAGAGTAGATGTCGGCCTGGTAGTTCATGATCAGACTTGCTTGTCGATACGCAGACGCACTGTGAGATTGTCTTGAAAGCGAAACGGAACCAAGCATACCGTATCCCAGGTGTTGATGCCGCACTTGTATGCATGCTCAAGGAGTGGCAAGCTCTCATCCTCGTCCAGAACCCATGGCTGCCATTTGGAAGTGCCGTAGCTCATGGCGCCCAAGATGACCTTGGAGACCTTGAGGCCCGACTTTCCCAAGCTGTATTGTGTGAGTTTTGACATGTGTGGGTCAGGTGAGGAACTCACTTGACGTATTCCATCTTTTTCTCTGCCATTGTCGTGATTGTATGCGATGTTACTAATAATTCGATACAGGGTTTTGGTACAGGTTCGCTGCAGCTGCAAAGATTGCGGCGAGATGCCAGCTATTATATCGCATTGATTGCGATCCCGCTCAAGAGGGGCAGCGGGGTTTACCCTAAGGCCGCCCAGTTGTCCGGCGTTAAGTTAAAACAATGGATCTCTGTGAAAACAGGCCCGCAAAGCCGTCTTTCCTGCCGCGGTCAGTGATTTCGCCAATGATGTACCTCTAAGAGTGGGTGGAGTGGCGTGGGCTGAAGTGGGGTTATCGGAATTAAACCGCGGTACTCAATGACAGCGCAGTGTGAGCACCGCGAAGCCACCGAAGACAACACGGTGCCCTTGTTGAAGTTCGGGATGGATGTTGACGGATCGTCTTACGAGTAACAGGCCGAGAGTCAGTCATAACTATACAATAATAATCACGCGAAGGACGGTAGTTGACCAGACTCAGCCCGTAGGCATGATTGTTTGCATTGTTGAGGCCTTAGCAGCCGTGTGAACTATGAATAAAACCAATCCGCTCCATCGCTAACCCGTAGGCCAGATCATGTCATGAACGCCATGCCCAGAATGAAGTCGTAAGAGATCGTCGCATCTACTGACCGCCACGCAGACGGAGCACCAAGTGGAGGGTGGACTCCTTCTGGATGTTGTAGTCGGCCAGGGTGCGGCCGTCTTCGAGCTGCTTACCAGCAAAGATGAGACGCTGCTGGTCCGGAGGGATACCCTCCTTGTCTTGGATCTTCGACTTGACATTGTCGATGGTATCGCTCGATTCGACCTCCAGGGTAATAGTCTTACCCGTGAGCGTCTTGACGAAAATTTGCATACCACCACGGAGACGGAGCACCAAGTGGAGCGTCGACTCCTTCTGGATGTTGTAGTCGGCGAGAGTACGGCCGTCTTCAAGTTGCTTGCCGGCGAAGATGAGACGCTGCTGGTCTGGTGGGATACCTTCCTTGTCTTGGATCTTGGACTTGACGTTGTCAATAGTATCCGATGACTCAACCTCCAGTGTGATGGTCTTGCCGGTCAAGGTCTTGACAAAGATCTGCATACCACCACGCAGACGCAGGACGAGATGCAGAGTAGACTCCTTCTGAATATTGTAGTCGGCTAGGGTGCGGCCGTCTTCGAGTTGCTTGCCGGCGAAAATCAGGCGCTGCTGGTCTGGGGGAATGCCCTCCTTGTCCTGAATCTTTGACTTGACGTTGTCGATTGTGTCGGATGACTCAACTTCGAGCGTGATGGTCTTGCCGGTGACTAGTGGCGATGTCAGCAACAGCTTCGGGTGCGCGGCGGCCAGGTGGCAACTTACGAGTCTTGACGAAGATCTGCATACCTCCACGGAGGCGCAGGACAAGATGCAGGGTGGATTCCTTCTGGATGTTGTAGTCGGCCAGCGTGCGACCATCCTCCAGCTGCTTTCCGGCGAAGATAAGGCGCTGCTGGTCCGGAGGGATGCCCTCCTTGTCCTGGATCTTGCTCTTTACGTTGTCGATGGTGTCGGAGGACTCGACCTCAAGGGTGATGGTCTTTCCGGTGACTGCGAGCCGTCAGTAACTGAGGCGCGGCAAAGGCCCAGGTGGCGACGGGCTGCTACTTACGGGTCTTGACGAAGATCTGCATGGCTGCGGTTGCTGTGTTCTGTGTTCTGTGTAGAAGTGGAAGTGTGTGTGTGAACAGCTCTGTTTGTTGCTGTAGGTTGAGTGGGAATGCGGAGGGAGAGAGGGAGAAGGTCGGGTTGGCGGAGAGGTGGCTTATATGGAGGGCGACAGGCTGAGGCAGTGACGGGCCCATGGGCGAGTAATGATGCGGCTGGGGCCCGTGCACCAATCAGCGACTCTGCGCCCGGGAACATTCCGGCCGCTTCCACCGCCTCGTCGCCGCGCCACCATGGCTGTCTCGCAGACTCTGCCGTTTGCTATTATTCAGCCTTGTCTTTTGCTGCATCACTGCAACGCCCTTCAGCCACCTCTTTGCTGCGGCGACGCCGCCCCCCGCGGGCCTTTGTTGTGGCGACGACGAGCTTCACCGCGCAAGTCCACGTTCCCCGCCGGGCCCACCGTTATCGCCTGGAGCCTGGACTCCCCCTGCCCCCCCCCCAGCTACCGCAGACCGGACATGTGACGTAGACACACGTCTTGCGAGCCGACAACGCCCTTGCGGTGCTCTCACTCTGCTCGCGCAAGCTGACGCCTTCACCCAGCCCGCATCAAAGTGCCCAAGACGCTCTGTCACCGGAACCGCATCTGATTCACCAAGATGCATCACCACGAAACACGGCTGCATGTCGCCATCTGCGCTCTGCGCTCGTACGTTTGCATGATACGCGTGCCAGGACGGACCCGCTTCCATGCAGCACCCTACAGCCACTGTGGTCATGGCCGTCACAGCTGTGTCAGCATGTCCTAGGTGTACACCTAGACGGCCAGCTTGGTCGATCGACATATCCGCCATGTCAAGAGTAGCGCCATTGCAAATCCGTTGGGTCGTTATCTTGCAGCTTGTACCCCGAGCCTCTGGGGCGGTACCGATTCCGGGGCGCGTATAGGACATGGCCAGGCCCAGCCAGGAAAACCGTTCAGCTACGCGATTGTCTACAGGCTCTCTGCTCCTGTCCTTAGACTCCCTTTTCTTGGCTCTGGAATCAGTGCGCACACGGTAAGTCATCGAGATGCAGTTTTGCGCCCCAAGGGACGTGTGATGTCACAATTGTCACCGCGGGGCAAGCTTGGATGTGTACAGGTCCAGCCACCAAGTGATTACTATTCCCACCCGCCCCCGCAAGACAACCTCTGCGATACCAATACCAGTCTTCTATTGTCGGCGCAACCAAACTCGTCGATACAGCCATGGCAACTCCGACGCTCACGAATCCTTCGCTGACGGCCGCCATTTGCTCGCTCGAACACCAGGCATGGGCTGCTCTCTGCAGCTCTGGCGCTGACCTTGTCCCGCTGCTCTCGAGCAACCCCGTCATGATATTCCCCGGCAACCTTATCTTTACGTCTGTGTCTTCGCCAACCATTGGCGAGATGCTGCAAGGCTCCGAATTCAAACCTTGGAAGTCGTATACGCTCAGTCACGACGAAGTGGTTCCACTGGGCAAGGACAGTGCGCTCGTATACTACCGCGTAGAAGCTACCAGGGTAGACGAGACGTTCCGGGCCATCTGCTCGAGCGTGTGGGTTTTGGAAGGGCCCATGAATAGCGCCACCGGAGGCTGGAAAATGGCAAGCCACCAGCAGACGCTGATCTAGGTGTAATAGGGAGGCTCACCACGCGGTTATCTCAGGATAGGAATGTGTAATTCAACCCTTGTTTTGCAATACCTTCTGGGAACATGTAATACATGTGCATTTTTTTTCCAAGACTGAACGAACGTATACGTCACTTGAAGACTGGTGGTAACGGGGTATCGTACCACTACAACGACTATTTGAATTTGATCGCGCTCCCCCGCAGCCCGCGCATAAACACCTAGAATGCACATGAGCTGTTTTCCGTTTTTCCCCGCCACCGCTGCCACGGACATGTCTGCACACACACACACACACAAAAGTCCGTCCAATTGGCAATGCTCCAGCTTGACCCGAGGCGCCAGCACCAGAGCTGAGCAGTGGCAGCCCCCCGGGGGCTGATTCTCCACAATACGCGGGTGCAGCGCTAGCGCCCGTTCAGTGACGTATGGGTGTTCCGAGGTTCCGTCGCGCTGAAGAAAGGGCAAACCCCCCGACCCCATTTGTTGTAAGGGGGGGGCGTGGAAGAAGCCAAAACGACGGGGCGGGGCGGTCGAAACCAAGCAAATCAGGCAACGCAAATATCGCCTCACAGCCTTGTTTCGTTTTGGTAGTGCTTCTCCCTTTTTTCTTTTCTTCCATTTCTTCTTCTTCTTCACTACTACTGTCTGTCTACAGTGCATGCGTGTAGCGGTCTTGACACAGCCGGGGGTCCATCACTTCTTCTGCATCCAATAGTACTGGCAACAGTCACGCATTCGTCATCACATTGTCCTTACGCATTCGGCACAATGGCAGTTACGTACGCGGCGGCCATCACGACACCCAGCGGGGGACTACGACAGCCGCAGATCCAAGCGCGGGCATGTTCGGATCCCGATATGCGAGCGTCGTTTGAAGCAGCAGCAAGAGCAGCAACAGCACCGCAGATACGCAGTGACGGGCCGCAAAAGGCAAAGGCACAGCGGCCTGGGGCAGGTGTGCGTGCTAGGACGAGTTTCCGCGGGTGGGCCAGCAGGAAGGAGAGCAAGACTAGTCTGAAGGCTTCACAGCAACAGCAGCAGCAAGAGCAAACGAGTTACCAGCCGTACATTGTCGAGGAGAGCCGGCCGTCAGGACAGGACTACTACTACTATGCGCGGGCCGAGCACAAGCCCAACTCGGGCCGCGAAGAGGAGCACGTCTATGTCGTTACGCTGAGGGTGAGCGATGCACTGGCCAAGCCCATGGACGAGATGCGGAGTCGCTATTTTCCTCGACACTTGAACCGCACGGGTGCCCATCTCACGCTGTTCCATGCGCTGCCCGAGTCGCACATGGGCACGCTGGAGCAGGGGCTCGCGCAAGCGGCGCGCAGCGTGCAGCCGTTTGCCGTCTCGTCTGGCAGGCCGTTCCGCATGCGCAAGGGCGTAGGCATCAATGTCGACGAAGGGTACAAGGCCATCAAGGACGTACATGCGGATTTGCAGTCGCAGTGGGCGTCGTTCCTAAGCGAGCAAGATGCTGGCGGGTTCCGGCCGCATTGGACCGTCATGAACAAGGTAGACGACGAGGAAAAGGTTGACGGGGCGTTTTGTACCATTCGACAGGAGCTGTCTGAGCGCAACCAGGAAGGCCAGGCGGTAGGGTTGGATCTGTGGAGGTATGAGCGTGGGAATTGGATCTTTGCCAAGCACTATGGATTTGGCGAGTCTACTACCCCTACTACGCCTGGGTCGCCCGGCTTGTCGCCTCGCCAGGGCGATCAGAGCCCTAGTAGCGGGGGGCCTCGAAAAAGACCCGGCATGTTCAAACGCGGTAGCAGTGTCAGCGAAGCGCTGCGGTCCATGAGCTTTCGAAGACGCAGTTGAGCCATGTGCTGCAGGCGGAGCTCTTGTATAATAGTAACCATCATGTATAGACTGTTGTTTCCATGTGGGCTGGTGTGTTTGAAGGAAGAATGCTTGGTGTGCCGCGTGTACTGTAATTGCATGGACTGGACCCTTCATCTAATAATACGCCAGGGGCCGCTGCTTGGCAGGCTCATTTCGTGGGTGCGGAGACATCCACGGCCACGGTTCGCGACGGCCCAAGCGGAAGCCGTGTAGAAGCGTCATGGAAGGACTGTCGGGTCGGAACAGTCTATATCTGCAGCTCTCTATTGCTGTCGTGATGCGTTCAGCAGCATGGGGTGTTTGTCTCGCCACGGGACCCCCGAACGCGCGTCGCATAAAGCCGGGCTCGGTCTCCATTTCCAAGGTGCATTGCGAGGAGGGCGGAAGGGGAGGGGGGCTGACGAGCGGGGGCCGTGGGTATGCTCAGGGTTTTGGGAAACGCAGCGGTACCTCGTATGTACTGTGGTCATGTGTCGTGGGCGGCGACAGTGGCAAAGAGCCTGGTAGGACGGCTGGTGGTGGTAGTGGTAGTACACCTATTAGTGGTGATGGTGGCGGCGGCGGCGGCGGCGGATAGGCTGGCGGTTGAGCCACAGTCAGCCACATCCCGCTTCCACCAGGGGCGCAGATCCCTCCCTCCCGCCGGCGTGGGGATGGAGTGTGATCAGAAGATTCTGTCGCCCAACCGCGCCGCCAATCTCGCAGCACAACGGCCGACGGCGTGACATGAGGCGGACAGTGCAGAGCACGACGGCTGGGCAAGGGGGAGGCGTGGGTGGGCGCCCAACGGCGTCGTCTCGTCTCGTCTCGTCATGTGGCGCCAGTGCCAGTGCCAGTGCCAGTGCCAGTCGTGGATACGATGCGACGCTGTGCTGGAATTAGAAGCGGACCAGGCTGAGTGATCAGGGACGGCGCATCTGGCCCAGCCATTGGTGCAGGGGCAGACGCCGGTAGGGGAGAATTGACGAGAGCACGAGCATAGCGGCCGAGGGCATGCGCTGCGTGAAGAAAGGGGAAGCTAGACGCTCCGAGAGGCCAGGGACGACGTTAGGCTTAGCTCCGCTAAATGTGGACGCAGAACCACCCCATATAACATCCAGCTGGCCTCATCACTCCCCGAGCTTCTCTCTGCCTTTGCCCTGCGCACCTTCCACCGCTCCTTCCTTCTGCCCCCGCCTGCGTCTGCCCAGCCTTGTGTCTCGCCGTGTCTTGAAGCCGCCAATTGCTCATCGCCGACTCGCCAGCACAAACTCCCTGACCACCACCACCTCCTCCTCCTCTTCCTACCAACACCACCACCACCACCACCGCCGCCAACATGAAAGGTAGGCGCATTCAATCGCAGCCCGGCTATGCACCGCTAACAACACCCCTCCAGCCATCATTCTCGTCGGAGGGTTTGGAACCCGTCTGAGGCCTCTCGTATGCCTCCCCCTCTGCCCGTCGCGCCCGACGACCCCGCGATGCCAAAAGCAATGGCAGTGCTAACGCCAATTGCAGACCCTCACCTACCCCAAGCCGCTCGTCGAGTTCGCCAACAAGCCCATGATCCAGCACCAGATTGAGGCTCTTGCCGAGGCGGGCGTCACCGACGTCGTCCTTGCGGTCAACTACCGTCCGGAGATCATGGCCGAGGCGCTCAAGACCGTGAGTAATATCCCTCTCGCGAGACTGGGGCATGCAATAACCAGGCGCGCAGTACGAGAAGCAGTACAACGTCAGCATCACATTCTCCGTCGAGACAGAGCCCCTTGGTACCGCCGGTCCCCTGAAGCTCGCCGAGAACGTCCTAGGCAAGGACGACTCGCCCTTCTTCGTCCTCAACGCCGACGTCACCTGCGACTACCCCTTCAAGCAGCTCGCCGAGTTCCACAAGAGCCACGGCGACGAGGGTACCATTGTTGTCACCAAGGTCGAGGAGCCGTCCAAGTACGGTGTCGTGGTGCACAAGCCCGGCCATGCCTCCAAGATTGATCGTTTCGTCGAGAAGCCTGTCGAGTTTGTTGGCAACCGCATCAACGCCGGTATCTACATTCTCAACACCAGCGTGCTCAAGCGCATTGAGCTCCGCCCTACGTCGATTGAGCAGGAGACTTTCCCCGCCATTGTCAAGGATGGCCTGCTGCATTCATTCGACCTCGAGGGCTTCTGGATGGACGTTGGACAGCCAAAGGACTTTTTGTCGGGTACCTGCCTCTACCTCTCGTCGCTTGCGCGCAAGAACTCGAAGCTGCTCACGCCTGCATCGGAGCCCTACGTCTACGGCGGCAACGTCTTGATTGACCCCTCCGCCAAGATTGGCAAGAACTGCCGCATTGGACCCAACGTCACCATCGGCCCTGATGTTGTCATTGGCGACGGTGTGCGTCTGCAAAGATGTGTCCTCCTTAAGAACAGCCGTGTCAAGGACCATGCCTGGGTCAAGTCGACCATTGTTGGCTGGAACAGCACTGTCGGCAAATGGGCGCGTCTCGAGAACGTGACGGTTCTTGGTGATGATGTCTCCATCGGCGACGAGGTCTACGTCAACGGTGGCTCCGTCCTGCCGCACAAGTCGATTAAGCAGAATGTCGACAGTAAGTGATTCCTTCTCACACAATCTGTGCATACACTAACATTTGATAGCCCCTTCGATCATCATGTAGACACGATACCCGATCGGATACGGCCGACCTCTACCCTTTTTAATACTGTGTACCTTCTTGTATATTCTGCATACCACCGGGCATATAGAGTGCATGGGTCTTTTTTCCTCTGCATGGGCGTCCATCTTCTTTTGAGCATATGGTTTACGAAAGATGAAAGAAAAAGCGTCAAAGGAAAACGGGTGGGATGCTTTTTTTCATTTCACAAACATTCTTATTTGGGTTCTTTTGGTTCAGCGTCGGGGTTTTTTGGTAGCGAAGAGAGCCATGTTTCATGCATGATTAGCAAGAGAGGGGGTTGTGAGTTTACACATGGTGGGCATAAATGAAATGCATATCATTGATGTATGTTGATTGAGTTGGAGATGTATCATCAATCTGGGTCTTTTTTTTCTCCCCACTCTTGGATGTTTTGCTGTAGTAGACGTAGCACAGACGTATATCCTCACTCTTATTCACGATCATCACTTCACTGTCTTGAAACGATTTGCTACTGCTCATGATACTAGATTACTCAATTGCTGGTCGATCTTGCCCTCTCTCTATCTTGCGCCCCCTTTAATCAATATTTTTAGCTACGTACAAGGCCTCGCTAAGTAACCTTGCGCTAGTCTTGCCGTCACGTGATGTCCTTCTTTCACGCTGTCCTGACGCATTAGTTTGCACCCTACAGCTTTGACTTGAATTGATTACTTAGCTACATATTGTGTGACTCATACAAAGCTCTTCATGTAATCTATATATATATATCCAAACAAACCCAGCCTCATACCCGACACCAGCCTTAAAAACAATCGCCCTTTCCACCGCCTCCCTGGCAAAAATATGTGTCTCCGTTCTTGAAACAGGACGTTCCTGCTCTGCACTGCCGTACTTTGTCAGCTTGGTCCATCCTAGGACTCCATACTACTAGTGGTACTATGGCTAACTTACAACCACTCCATTCGTGCGGCATTCGTCGCAGGTAAGCGCTACCGCCTGCTGCGTAAAGAGGGCTACAAGGAGTGTGAGAGCCATAGCTTTGAAATTCGCCATTATGAGATGGATCTATATCTCTGGGTTAATATGCCATGTCTAGCGTGTTAACTGAAAGAGAAAGAAGAAAAAAAAACGCACTTGAAATGGGTGGTCGGGGTAAAAAGGCTGTTTGTCGTATCGGGTAGGTGGGCAGGCTGAGGAATTATCGTATGTAGTAGCAATGATGATAATGATGATGATGGTGATGACGGTAATAATGATAAGAAAGATAGGCAAGAATACGAGAGTCTTATATACTATGAATCCTTCTACAAAGTGGAGTTCCCCGTCTTACGTGGATGTCGCCGCCCCCGCCCCCGCCCCGTGCCAACTCCACTAGCTATCTTAGCGCCTATATAAAGGAGATGAGTACGGAGGTGCCTTTCTAAAGTATTGTCTGACGCTAATCTCAGCGCTTCAGCACAACTCTTCTTAGCGCAACTCCCACCTTAGAGTTAAGGGGCTGTCTAATTAGTCTGCCTACTACTATATAGTTATTCTTTAACTATAGCTCCTTATACTAATATATATACCTGTACCTTAGTAATTGCGTTAAAATCACCTCCTATTAGCAAGAATACCTTATAAGTCTCTACGCTAACTAGCGTTTATCCTTATACTATAGATTATATCTATAGTAGAGCTATTGCTGTAGGCTTTAAGCTAAACAACCTTTCTATTAAGATCCTTCTACACTACGTTTAGGATGCTCTAAAGCCTAGTAGGCCTGCTAAGCAGGTAGAGGTAAAGGAGCAGATATTGCAATAAGTACAACACGATAGATATAGACGAGAGAAGAGCTGTGCTAACCTTGCTAGTAGGCTTAGTCTCTAAGGAGTTGAAATCTCTGCCTCTACTATCTAGAGGGTGTTGAGAGTAGCAGGATATAGGAAGACTAAGCCAACGAGGAAGCCTAGGTTAACATAGAAGATAAGGAGTGCTTGTCTTAAGTAGGCATTAGAGCATAAGAACTAGACGTTAGAGGACTAGAAGAATGTTATCTAGACAGACAAGACGTTAGTAGTGATTAACCACTAACGTAGGGGCTATAGAGTCTAGAGAAAGGTAGACAAGAGGGTAGTTAAGAGCTGCATCTATAAAAGGTAGAAGGGATACTTTAAGTTTATGTTCTAGGGCTGCTTCTTGTATAATAAAAAAAGTCTATGCTATATCTACTAGCTAGAGACAAAGGTAGAGAAAGAGGATGCTACTTATTAGATTAAGCAGCTAAACGCTAAGCTTAAGCCTCTACAGCAAGAGGAATAGGAGCTGTTAGAGTCTATAAGAAGGACAGGGCTACGCAATAAGCGTAGTAGGAAGCCTTAATAGAGATAGATAGAGAAGACAGGTAAGCTAGTGCGTAAGTCTAGAGGTGGTATAGACTAGTAGAGATATTAGGCCTGCGTTCTAATCCTAAAGCTAATTCCTTTTGCTAAAGAGTGCCTCTAAGATAGACCTTAGACTGTTGTAATAAAGGATAAGGCACCTAGCCACGCCTACTACTATTAGGGTGTGATCTATCGCCTATACAACGTTAAGAGACTACTTTAGTGTGGAAACTTGCTAGACTATAACTGCATTAAGCTATGCTAGTTCTATATAAAAAGAGAGACTACAAAGAAAGGAGCTCTGCAGTTAAGGGCTAAGGCAGTTAGAGTCTAGCAGAACTGCTAGAGAGATCTCTTACAACTTAAGATCTAAGCTTAGATTAAGCGAATCTTTGTATATATTTAAAAGATAATTAAGCTACAAGGTAGTAATGAGTACATAGAGGGGAGAGATAAGCCTTGGCTAAGGCGGCCGCACTTTGGTTAGATTATTCTTGGCAGACAATACTTTTGAAAGGCACCTCCGTACCCGCCATGACTATAATAAAGCTTCATAGTGACTCATCGCGGGTGAACACATGTATTTCCCCCCCTTCCCTTCCCAATCCGTACGCCGTGCCTCGTATCCCGTTTTCCACACCCAACTATCCAGGTTAACAACTTGGTGCTACTATTCAATAGATGGGTTTGCGGTGCAGGGCAGTTACCTTTTCCCGCCTAAGCACGGACCGAATAACCATGTTTGCTGTGGTAATCCCCAGTCGTATTCTTACGACATGACGTCGGAATAGAAAGACATGTCAGCTCATTGTGCTGATTAGTGAACTGCATTTGCTTACTGAGTGGGGGCTTTTAATATAGTACGTAGGGGTATATTGTGTGGTGGTTTGATTTAAACGGGATTTTCTGACGCTGATGTAGCGGGTTATAGGAGGATGTATATACATACATACAACTTATACTCACTAGCATAGCTGCGTTGTGATAGCGATGTAACAGGTAGGATTCCTAGGCTGGCCTTGATATATCCAGGCGGCCGCCCATGCCACACCATTAATATAGCGGACATTCTTCTGTCTCGCTACATATATCCTGCACAATGGTATCCTAGATTTGTCTCGATGCAGTATCGCCTGTGACACTAAAAGTTACTTTTTATTTCATAGCTTTCCCAGTTCCCAGGTTTACAGCTAGCTAGTGGCGTTTCGTACAAAAAAGTCCGTACTTGTTGCAATTCTCGCAGTCAACTACGCGCGCAACCGCCTGTTGGGCAAACGTTGCAATAAGGGTTGTCATGACTATGTTCTGGAAGTTTACCATGTCGACATGGATAGGTGTGCTGTGAACTACATTTAGCATCTTACTAGCCGAAACTCACAAAAACAGAGAGTGAGAGAGAGAGAGAGAGAGAGAGAGAGAGAGAAATGTACTTGAGATGGATTTAGCAAGAAAAGAGGGCAGTTTGCAGTAGATAGAAAGGTAGGGAAAGCCTGGTACGAATCGTCATGGCGAAAAGGGCTTCACTGTCGACTCTATTATATACTTGCATCAACATTATAGTCTGACATATTTTAGTCGCACCTGGCAAAGCTACGGTCTTTCTATTGTCAGTTCCAGTGAAGCATGTTGCCGTTTGCAAAAGCATACACGTTTATTCACACCGATCAGCACACTAAAAGCTCCACCAAGGATGTGTCCCATGAATATCACCATACTATTCGTATTCTGAGGACCGTGCTACGCATTCTGTTTCCCTATGTGATCTGCTGATGTGAAAATGTGGTGCTGTAAAGGTATGGTAGTGGGAAACTTTTTTTTCTAATACTCACCCTCTCTTGGTCCAAATCCCTACGCTGTGTCATGCTACGCTCGGGTGTAAGATTTCTCTAATTTGTTAGGAATTAAGCATTCACTAAAGTATTTATACGGGATTCTACGTGCTGATTTAGTGCGGTGTGCGGCGCAAGTGGGGCGTAGGGTGTAATAGAGGATAGTGGTGAAGTACTGCATCCTATACTTTGTGTACTACAAGTAGCTATTCTGTTTCTACTATTCGTTGAGCTTGATAGGTGAAATGAGCTGGCTAAATTCCTTCCTGTACTGTTGTTTAGATACACCTTGTTCCATCTGTCTTAAAGATACGAGAAGATTTATAGGGTTACGCAGATTTCATACGAATAGTGTTTGCAAAGAGTTAGCGAGCCTTTGAACTAATCAGCTAATCACTAATCAAGAACTCTATATAGCATTAGCATAGGGTATCTTATCGAATACTAATCTACTACTTCAATACTGCATATACATGCACTTCTCTACCTAATCCTATCCACGCTTTCCCTACGTCCAACATCCCCTACCCCTACCTACTTACCCCTCCAGTCTAGGCAGTACATTGCAATACCTCAACGCACAGCTCAACGTCTTCCTTCTCTCTCGTCCCGAAACTCTCTGTATTGTAGTGTACCAAGGCTTACATACCTAATCACAAGCTGAGCATGCATCGGCATCCTTTCCCAGGTAGAGATAGATAATCAACCAACTCCCACCCGAATAGCCATCGTGGCTAGCTACCTACTCTCCATCTTACCAATCCACTAATTAATGGTCGAAAACCATTTCACTATCTGGTTTTTCGTGCTGCGAGATCCTTTCGCTGCTAAAATATGTATGCATATAAAGCGATACCTACATATATCCCTGGCTATCACATATACCTAACATTTCCAGTCGAATCACATACTTACAAACAAAGTAGCTGCCATACCTGCTGTATGCAGAATCGGCCAAAAAGCCCCAGTGAAAACAAAAGCTGAGATACAGAATTCAACATGGGTATTACATTATTCCTTGTTAGCTTTTTTTTACATCAATCCTTTTTACTAACTAACTAACTGCCTGCCTGCCTGTTTAACTAGCAGACTGACCCATCAACAGACTAGCCATCTACCTGGCTGTCTTCCCTTCTTCCCGCCTACCTATCTCAATAACATTCCTCTATCCATACACATATTCCACAGCGCCTCAATCATGCCGTCCACAATCCCAGGCCGCGCCCGCTATCATAGTCTTCTTGAACCCACATCTCGTTTTCTTCTTGGTGACGCCACTGCATTGGACTTGGTGCGATTGCGATTTCTTACTTGCTGCCTTGGTCTTTGCGTTTCTTGCTGGTCCTCCCGGTCCTGAGGCTGATGCTGTGGTTTTTCCCGGCTTGTTGGCGCGGCGTTGTGGTGGTGGTGGTGGGGAGGGGGCTAGAGTTGGAGAGGGAGTGGGAGTGGGAGAATGGAGAGACGATGGTGGTGATGAGAGGGAAGAGGAGGATAGTAAAGACGCTGTTGTTGCTGTTGTTGTTGTCGCTGCATGTGGAATGTGGATTTCTAGAGGCGTTGGCGCGAGAGCTGAGAGGTTTGACGGTGGAGACGACAGCGGGGATGTTGACGGGCGAGGTGAGAGCGAGAGTGGTTGAGGTGGCTTTTTCCTTGCATTGTTTTTCTTTACTGATAGTGGTGAGGATAAGTGTGAAGGTAGAGACGATAGCGGTGATGTTGACGGAATACGTGAAACTGAATATGGTGCTGGTACTGGAGTCTGAATCGGCATCGCTATATCATGTGGGGAAGCGAGGGTATCAGGAGGTGGAGATAGAGATGAAGAAGATACAGGGGAACGTGCTGTGGGTGATGTATGCACGGCTTCTTCTACTGCAATCGCATCTTCCTCTCCTTCCTCCCCTTCTTTTTCCCCTCCTTCCTCGGTACTCTCAGCATCGACACTGCAGTGTAGGGAAGCGAGATGGGCGTAACCGGCATGTAGTGTATATACTTGTTCTTCTTCTCCTGCATTAGACATGGGAACGGCTATACGCTCGAATGCAGTCGCAATGGCATCTTCGTTTCCGATGCTAAGCGGGTACATGAGGTCTGCGATGGAAGAGAGAGTGACTGGGCCATTGCTGAGGATATTTGCGAGGCGGCATTCGATGGTGTTAGTTGTGAGTGAAGCGGGTGATGAACTCATGGTGTCGCTCGATCTCTGGGTCGCCAGTGGATAGGTGTGTTGAAGGCGCTGGGGATATGTTGAAGAGAAGACGGGCGGGTTGTAGGTGAGTTCTGAGAAGTGAATGAAACGAAGAAAGAGTCAAAGACACCATCTTAGACAATGAAAATGGGGTGTGTTGAGACAATGGTACTGTGAGGGTCAAAGCTGTGAGTTTGTCTCAATGAGATTGCTATTGCTATTGTTTGTCAGTGTCATTATCGCCCAACATGTGAATACACCATTCCATTCCAATAGGCAAGTCACTCTTTTCACGACGGTGAATGGAGACTTGTGATACAGTCAATGAGAATCCACTCTTATTGAGATTTTTCTAGCTGTCACAGACGCTAGTCCCGACATAAATTTTGCTAAGCGTGGTGAAGGCATCGCAAGCAGCACAATAGCCTTACCAAGCCACGTGCTCGCTGATGGATAGACAGGCTACAACAAAGTCGATAGATGACGTACATGCCTGTCTTACAAATATCCCAGCGGCTTATATTCAAGGACCCCCCTGCATATCGGAGTAAATGATCAAGGGCTTGCCGTCCATCTTTGGCATGAGCATCTCCTTGATCTTGGCGTGAGACTCGTCTTGCTGATCAAAGTAGTTCATGTCGTCGACCGAGTTGAAGATGCAGCGAATCAGGAGGTTGTAGCCCTGGCTGCGGTCGTCCTCGTAGGTTGCGTTTGCTTGGGCAAGTTGAATGTAGTTGTTGCCGTCCTACAGACATGACGTTAGCGTGCATGAGTCGGGAACGAAACAAAAAACGACCTCGGCAAGTGCAGGCATGCACAAGAAGCGGCGACGGGGATTATAATTAGCTTTCTTCAGTTGCGAGGTCGAGGCTTGTGCAATCACGATGACCAGAAGCTGGCTGCATTATGCAGCTTCCCATCATCACCCCACCCCATTTCTCCTAGCCGCGGCAGTACTTCCAGCGCGCCACGTACCCGCTAGGATCATGGGTTAGGTGTGACTAAGGAACGAGGGATCGTGATAATGATACGATTTGCCGGCCTTGTCCCGTTGAAAATCACAACTAACAACAAAAAAGGCGCAATAAATAGCCCGAGGGCGGCTAGGCTTCTGGTCTTGTCCGAGGTGACGAGTTGGGCCTGACGTGCAGCTGGCGCGGAGCTACACGGTCCGAATATGCCATGGCGGGCGATGCAAATGGCGTGAATAGCGGCTATGTATGGAGTCCGCGAAGGGAAAGGCGTGGGGCGTGCGAGTCAACAAGTGTGCAGTGTACGTACCTTTTTCGCGTCCTGAGTGAGGGTGCTGTAGTGATTGATTGCCTGCTGGATGGTGTCCTTGTCGGCGACCTTGAGAAGGGTGAGGCGGACGATCTTGGGCATGTTGGCGGCTGCGTGTGTGATTTGGCGGGTAGAATGCAAAGTGCTTCTTGGGATCGGGTCTAGGCTGGGAGTGTGGTGCGGTACGTTTGATGTGTCGACATGGCTTCAGACAACCACGGCAGGGTATATAGATGACTGGTGTCGGAGCTGAGGGCTTCGGCACAGGTGGAGAGCCATGGGAGACGCAGTCTCGACGTCGGTTCCCCTACATGTGCTTTTCACGTCTGCTCAAATCGGAGCGTGTCTTGGAAGCAGTCTTGGGGACTTGGACATGGTTGCTTTTGCGTTTCTGAAGCCGTGGCCACGGAACTCCCAGCCCAGCGGGTGGTAGAGGGCGCGAGGTTGGGCATGTGTGTATGTACGTACATAGGACGCAACTGGGACCCTCCATGCTCCTCGGGCATGATTGGGGGGGTATCAGACTTGCCATCCCGGTTCACAGTGGGGTTGTGCTGCGGGGTTGGCCGTGTTGCTTGCCCGCCATGGAGGGGAAGAGAGAGAGAGCGCGCGCGCGAGGGAGAGCGAGAAGCAGAGAGCGAGAGAAGACACCGCCACCCGATGCCGGGATGCACAGTGACGGCCAAAAGGGCGTCGTACGTCAAGCATGGAGAGGGTTACGGCATGCGGGCGTGTGTGGGCGTGGGTGTGGGTGTAAGGACGGGAGCAAGCGTGGAGGCGGCGGTCACGGGATTGGAGGGATGCGCGTGGTCCCCCACCCAGCAGCAGCAGCAGCAGCGGCAGGCAGCAGCGAGCCTTCGGTGCCGGCTCCTCTACATTGGCCCTCGACGCCGCACTAACCAAGCTTACCTACACCCACCCTCCTCCATTCACCCATACACACCACAGTACACAGACACACAGACACCCCCCGGCGCTTGCACCCCGTCGGCCTATTGCTCGTCTACCTCCCTTACAGCCCACTACCGCCACTAAGTACGGCCGCTCTACTGCCACTGCTGCTGCTGCTGCCACGGCCACTACTACTATTACCACCACCACCACTACTACTACCATTACCACTACCACTACCACCACTGCTACCACCATGGCGTGCCGCGCGAGGCTGAACAGCAGGGCGGCGCGGCTCCTCGTGCTGGGAATCGTGCGAGAACATGTGGGTCGTCGAGGGCCGCCCTTGAAAGCAGTCAGGCCGACTCCACGACGACGACGACCTGTCTAAAGCGCTGCCTGCCGCCCATGGCTACATTGATGCCCTTGACCCGCTGCTTGGCTGGGCCCTCCTCGTACTGCTTGCAGTCTCGACATTCTGTATCAATGCGCACAAAGAGGGGCGCATGGTTATGCCGGACAACGATGTCTTCTTCACCGCCTGTTCTGCTGCTGCTGCTGCTTGGAGGGGGCGGGTTGCCGTGCCTGCTGCGGGTGCACGCTCGCGTCATCCACAGATCTCCCGCGCGCGAAGGCAAGAGGCATGCTTGGTCGCCTTGGACGCCGTTGTCGTCGACCTGTGTCTGCTGCCTCGACGCTGTGAACAAGACGCCTATTCTTTGTTCTGCCCCCGACCGTGGCTGGCGCTTCCTCGCTTCGTTGCCGCCATTCACAAGCGCCATCGCCCCGCCCCAGCCATCCATCCATCCACCCTCCGGGCCTCCATCCGCCTGCCCACTCCCATCTGCGATCGGCGCCAGGCAAAAAGCCGCCGTTACTGGGACCTGGGACCTAGCCTGCACCGCTTCCTGCCGTGAACCCCGTCGGCCCTGCTCTGTGCCCACTCGACCTCTGTCCTACCGCTGTTGCTGCTGCTGAGAACCCACTCCCCGGCAGCTTAAAAAAAGTCGAGTACACGCTGCAGCCGCCCAGTGCATCATCCCTTTGTGCCAAATCCAGAGAAAAGGAATAAAAATTTCTTTCTTTATCTCGCGCTCGGCGGCGTGCTATCTTTGCCTACTCAACATGGCAAAGGTGGAGCCATGGTGACAGAGACCGTCGTTGTCGTTGTCGACCTCCACCAACGCCACCAGGGTCTTTCCATCTGTCAAAGCCCGTGGGGAAAGAAGAAAAAATCTCTTGCTATAGACTGGCACGGGCAGCGCAGGAACGCATGGCCCCTACCGACTGTTGTCTCGTCATCAGCCGTGGTCTGCCAGAAAAACCTCTACCATGTACTCCAGACTCGATACTCCACCTCACATGTCTCGCAACCGCGCTCCAGCTCTAGCTCCAGCTCCAGCTCCAGCTCCATCCAGCCCGAGCACACGCCCCTCCCCAGCAGACAATCTCCGCAACTCACTGCCAATTTATGCCTGCATGGACACGGTTCACAGCTAACAGCCGTTGACCCTTTGCCTGTTTGAGCGCCGGGCGCATTTGCAAGCAGCCATACCCTGGGGGCCGTGCTTGCTGCATGTATGCGTTGGCAGTGACGCTTGATGCTTTCTGGTACCACCAACCCCAGGTATCTCGACATCCCTCGAACGCATCAATCAGCTCCCCTCATTTGCCCGCCTGGCACTATCCCGCGTTGCCCCGAGCTATGCCCATTGTTGCAATGCATTTCTCGCTTCTGGCCATTATGCTTTGCATCCTCGCGCCCTCACACAATCGTGTTCATCTCCCCTCCACTCGCCATCCCTGCGCCTGACACCCTGACCGACTAGCACCCAGGCCCGGTTTTTTTTTACCTGCATGTCTGGTCTGGTCCGTCTTTTCAACCACACGCCCCTCCAGACCCTGCTCCTCAAAGCCCTACATGGAAATTCGGCGCACGCTGTCGCCAAGGTTCCCTGGTATCGGCACACTTGTCAAAGGGTGCAGAGTCTGACGTATTTTTGCCTTGTCCCCTCCTCGTGCTGCATATTGCATTAGTGGGCCCCATTGCGTCCGATAGATGCGAGCAGCGAGCGCTCTTAGGGCGCCTCGCTGCCACTCCGTTGTCTATGCATCTCTCTTAGGCGTCTAGACATGCATGACGCCGATCCAGACATGTCCATCCAGCCTTGACGAACGCGTTACAGAAAGTGGCCCCGATCGACAGCCGTTTTTTACAGCGCTACTGCGGGCAACATGGTGGCAAGAGCACGCCGGTGAGGCTGTACCTTTTGAGGTTTGACTCTGTTTACTAGCCAGAATTCTGGAACCTCTATCGTTGGCTCCCTTCTCGCCAGCACATACTATGGGTCTCTCTTCTCCTACAGAGCCGCAACAGGACCCGCAGCTTATTCATTTCCGCTTGCTCCTCTCGCCTCTCGGTTGTCAAACGCGCTTGGGTACGTGCTACACTCGTCTGCCGCATTATATTACTCGATCCCACAGTCAGGCACATATGCTCCCACCCCACCCCCCGTTTGACTGACTGCAAGCCGCTCCCTCTTCCTTGCCCCTCATACATGGACTTCTTCTCCCTTTGTTGAACAGCTGTCATTCCTCTATTGGCAACTGTCAACCACACCTCCGAACCACATCTGCTGCCGTACCACCATTGCCACGACTCCCTTTTGCTCGGCTTACCACGGTCGCCACCAACCCGGACAAGTCGCCAGCAAAAAAAAAACTCCACCAGTCATTCCAATCGCTCTTTACCACGTCGACGCCGCAAACCATCCATTCAATATGTTCTACGTCATGTACCTGACAGGTTAGTATTGGACAGACTCTTTTTTTTTATACATGTACCACATGGCCGGGTATTGTGTATCATGCGAAAGCACCAATTGGCGTCGCACGGGTGCTATGGTACTTGTGCCTAGCCACCCACTATGGAAAGCCCCACATGATAAAGCTCTGGAAAAGCGACCTTGTTGTCAAGGCCGCTGCACGACATGCTTTGTTTTGGGCATGGACGACGGATGGCTGACCATTGACAATAGGCCTTTGCCAAAGGCGCCACTGGCCCGACCCACTCTTCCAGACATTCCGCACCCGCTACGGCTATGGCTCGACGGTGCGAGTAAACAACCGTGAATACTCTACAGACGTCGAATACGAGTCGGAAGAGCTGGCAAAGAATGCCGCCGCCACCCGAGCTTACATGATTTGCCGTAACTTTTCGGTAAACGATGGCATGTATCCTGGACAGCGGCCCGGCGAGGGAGCTCAAGGTCTCCCGACACCAATCGGAGCCGGTCGACGGAATACGACTTCATCAAACGACTACGACAGCTCGAGCACCACCAGTGGTGGCACCAGCCCCAGAAGCTCCGATTGCGGACTCGACGCTGCGCAAGCGGCTGCGGCGGGGCGACGACCCAGCAAGGTTTCTACGATGCAGCCTTCTGCATCGGCGTGCCCTTGTGGACGCGGATATGTCCGAGCTTACGAGATGTGCTCGGGCTGTCTCCAGGAGGCGGGCTACAGAGTCTAGAGGATGGTAATACATCCAAACCACGAGCCGAAGACACGACACAAACAACAACCACTACTCAGGACTCACAAACCGAGCCACACTCGAAATTACACCCCCCAAAAAAGACTTGAAGAGCCCAAGCTCAGCGATACCACTACTACCCGAATTCCTACGAACCTTTTTTGCATCTGTTCTGACGAAACGATCCGTTATAACGATATTAACGGCTAGAATGACGTTCCTACTTGCCTCTATCTCTTGGATCTGCTTTGAAATGGGTGGTGTTTTTTTTGCGTCACCCATCAGCCTGGTCGGAGATATGAGTGTGTGTGGATGTGTGTGCGTGTGCTAGGATACCGCTTTTTTTTTACCACCCAGAGTCGCAGGAATGCCGGTTCCCTCTCTTTCTCTTATTTTTCCTTTCCCCCTTCCTTTCCAAACGGGCTGCATAGCGACGGCATTGAAGCGTTTTAGCGAATCGAGATTTTCCTTTGTGTTTGACCTTTTTCCTTTCCTTTCCCAAAGTTTCGGTTTTCCCCCGCTTTCCGCCCTCCTTTTTTTCGGAAGACCTTGATTTTCCCCGCCAGAAAGGAAGAGAGAGTGTGTGAGAGTGTGAATGTGCGTGTGCGTATGTGTGCAAGCGTGTCGGGAAACTTGGTTATTGTCAACGTTAGCAAAACCTTTTTTCTTTCTTTCCAAAAACAGAGTTAAAAAAAAAAGTGGGCTTAACGGAGAGGGAAACTTGGATCTTCTTTTGCGATGTATAGCTAGTACATACGCTAGATTGAGGCTGCTGCTTGAGACCAAGCCATGAATGTAACGAGTCTTCTTCTCTTGCAATTTGGTATCTGCGTGTACATGTGTGTGTGTGTGTGTGGATGTGTTTACTTGTTGCATTGCTGCATTTTACAAGACAAGAGAGGGACTGATAAACAGTAGGTAAACACGACGGTGTAAAGACGGTGAAGAAACGACAAGGGTAAAAGTAAGTAATGCACATGCACACTTGAAAGAAACCTTGCATGCTACCAATACGCTAGCATTAACTCAGAATTAACGCTTTTACGCTTCTTCCTAAATCTCTAAATCGCGATACCAAGTTCCACAATACCTACCGCTACATATAGTTATATATATATATATGTATATATATATGTAGCTCCTACGTCTCAAGACAGCAAATAAAAAAAAAGAACATACACGTATGCGTATAGTCATCGCATACCTATAGTCTTTCTACATCATACTATAGCATAGCATATCATAACATGACATAGAACATAGAATACGAGTCCTACATACATATGTAGTATTATCATGTCCAGGTTAGGCCGACATCGAGCTGTGATATGATATAATATCTAGTGCAGAATGAATAGAGAGGAGGGAAAAAAAGAGAAAAAGAAAAAGAAAGTAAGCAAACTAAAGTAAAGTAAATGTAAAAGTAAAAGTGATGATTTTTTTTGTAGGTATTCAACTTCTAATTGCGCTTGCTGTATGTATGTATGTATGTATGTATGTATGTATGTATGTATGTATGTATGTATGTATGTATGTATGTATGTATGTATGTATGTATGTATGTATGTATGTATGTATGTATGTATGTATGTATGTATGTATGTATGTATGTATGTATGTATGTATGTATGTATGTATGTAACTATATATAGTTATATAACGTGGTTCATAAGCGAGTCGGTCACCCAAGCGAGTCGGTCACTCCCCACCAGCGCGTCGACGTTGATACTACAACGCGTTATGTCTTAACAACACAACTATTAATTAACTTATCCTAAATTAGATCTTTAACTTGCTCTTTTTAATATCTAATTACAACGTGTTTAAAGCTAAAGACGCGCTGCCTCTATCTATAACGTGCCTTAAAGTACAATATCTGATCAACAGGCTAGAAAGCGCCCCTAACGCGACTGTGAACCGAATTCAAAGCGCCTAAATAAGTTAGAAGAGGAGGCTATTATTAGACGTATTTTTAAAGAGTCTGCGCGTGGATTTGCCCCTACAAAGGCTAAGGTTCAAGTAATAGCCAATAAACTGTTAGAAGAGCGTGGTGGCAACCCTATTAGCAAGAATTAGGTTAACAACTTTGTTAGGCGGACTGCTAAGCTCCGTACGCGCTAGAGCCGTCCCTATAATCACCAGCAAGCCGCTGTTAAGAGTAGGATCTGAGTGGAAGTAATATAAGACTTCTGGTGTCAGACTCTTGAGGTTGGTTTTCGCGGATGAAGCAACAGGGTGGTATGAACAGTATTCGTCTGCAAGTAACTATTGTATTGTAGGTACTTGTACTCGTAACTTAAGTTGAACACAATGAGCCATAAGGGCTACATTGCCTATGCTATATACCTATGGTGCTCGTAGCCCTCGGTCAGAGGAGTCCGAGTATCGCTCGGTGGCTGGCGCACGAGGGGCTTTCCTCTGTGGCTTATGTACGAGGAGTCTGCCAAGACCCTTCCTCGCGCATAGAGGTCCGAGGAGGTCACGTGATCCTCCCTTACTCTACAAAGGGCGGGGTTGACTGGCTGTCGTCGTTCCTTTTAACTTAACCGCTGTGCCTTCCTCCCTCAGGTTCGTAACACCATCTCCCTCCTTCCTAAGCTTGTCCTCAAGCTTTTCCGTATGCCTGTGGCTAACCATGTCCACCCCCAGGTCCAAAGAACATCTTCGTCTTGCTCTTGAGATTCGTCGCAACGGTCTCCCTGCGCCCGTCCCCTGCGATTATTGCTTTGCGAACAACCGTCAGTGCGTCGCGATGCCCGAAGTCGACGGCAAGCGTTTGAAGTGCTCGGAGTGCACTCGTCTGGGTCACCCATGTGTGAACATGTCGTGGGTGTCTTTAGACAAGACTCGTGAAGAGTATCAAAAGAAGGTGGATAAAGATAAGCAGCTGCTAGCTCAGGTAATTTCGCGCTTAATGCGAAACAAGAAGATTTTAAAGCAGGCTAAGGAGCGTGCTGCGAAGAAGACTATGTGTCTAGCGAATTCCTTGCGCGCTGGTGGTGATGACGTGGATGCGCAGGAGTCCTTGGACTGTCCCGCGGCGGATGCCTTGGTGGGGTTTTCGCCGGTTATGTGGAGTACCTTGGGGTCCTTAGACGCCCTAGCGTCGCCCTCGAATTCTAGCGATGCGCCGATTTTCTCCTCATGATAGTAAGTTCTTTTTTGTATTTTTTGAGTAGTTGTTGGCAATTAGATAGATTGTCCTCTGGTTCCCATGTGTTTTCGCTGTCTGGGTATCCTAACCATTTAACTAGGTATTCGGTTCCTTGGGTTGTCGCGCGGTGTGCGAGGATTTTTTCAACTTCGAATTCGTTTTCTTCTTCGGGTTCGTAGTGAAATGTTTTTTGTATTAGCGTTTTGGGGTCTGCTGGCTCTAATAGGCTAATATAGAATCTTAGGTGTGTCTTTGCGTCTAGTGGTAGATCAAGTGTGTACGTTACTGGTCCTTTCTGATCGAGAATCAAAAATGGTCCGACCTTGGTGTGATCTAGTCCTTTGCTTGGTCGCTTTGTTCGAAGATTCTTTGTGAGCAAGTATACTCTATCCCCCCTTTTTAGCTAAGGTGCCATTTTTCGTTTCTTGTTAACATATGAAATGCTTTGTTGCTAAGCGTTTTCGAGTGCTTTTCAGAGTTTTTCGTGTATTTTCTTAAGTTCTTCAGCCGTAGCTATGGCTGCTTCTGTTTTCTGGCTTGGGTATGTCCTAGTAAAGAGATTTAGGTGTCTCCTGTGGTTTGCGTAAAATGGTGTTTTTCCTATTGATTCCAATGTTTTGTTGTTGTAGGCCATTTGTGCTATAGGTAGTAGTTGTACCCAATTGTTTTGTTAGTAGTTGACATAGATTCTAAGATATGCCTTCATTGTTCTGTTGGTTCTTTCTGTTTGTCCGTCGGTCTGTGGATGGTACGCTGTTGATAGCTTACGTTTCGTGCCTATCGCAGCTAGTAGTGTTGTCCAGAAGTTTGATGTGAAGAGCTTGTCTCTGTCACTTATAATTGTCTTTGGTATTCCGTGGTGTTAGATAATTCTGTTGTTGATAATGTGTGCGAGATCTACTGCTGTGTAGTCTTTTCTAAAAGGTATGTACTCGGCTTGTTTAGTAAACCTATCCACTACAACTAGTATCGCGTCGTAGGCAACCTTGGTTGCAGGGTCCCTTGAGACTGGTAGGCTTGTAACGAAGTCCATGGAGATATCTGCCCACGGTTCTCGTGGTAGCTCTTGGGCTTGCATTTCTCCGTAAGGTGCGTGAGTACTGTGCTTGTTCTTCTTGCAGTCTTCGCATTTGGCGATGTAGGATGCAACTTTGTCTTTTATTCCACTGAACTGGTAGTTTCTCTAAATCAGTTCTATTGTTCTGGCGATTCCTGGGTGTCCGTGTACAGGATCTTTGTGGTGTTCTTCGATGATAGTTTGTTGTACTTCTTCGGGTACGTCGTTCCCAATTTTCATGATTATGTTAATTTCGTGTGCGGGTCCCATTAATCCGTCTTTATTGATCTTGAGTATCGGTCTGTCGACTATCGTCTTAGTTCCTGCGATGTCGTGTCGTCGGCTAAGAGCGTCGGCTCTCCCGTTTTCCTTTCCTGGAGTGTAGACAATCTTAAATTTGTATTGTCCTAGTAGTTTAGCCCATCAAGTCTGTCTTTGGTTAAGTACCTTCGTCGTAGTGAAGTGTACTAGGTTCTTGTAATCCGTGTAGATTGTGAGTTCTAAGCAGCTTTCTGCGTATACTCTCCAGTGTCGTAGGCATTCTACAATAGCTAAGAGTTCTTTATCGTGTACGTCGTATCGTTCCTCTGCTCCTAAGAACTTTCTTGAATAGTATGCTACAGGGTGCCATTTGCCATCGATGAGTATGCTGGCGCAGCCTCCTAGTGCGAGGTCTGATGCGTCCGTTTCAAATTTCGTGGGTAATCCTAGGATAAATATCCTAAAGCATGGTGGCGTAATGCATGCTTTCTTAAGCGTTCGAAATAATTTTTCTGTCTTGTCATCCCATTTCCATAGGGTATCTTTTCTTGTTAATCGCGTTAATGGTATCGCGATCTTGGAGAAGTCCTTAATGAATTGTTAGTTAAAGTTCACGAATCCTAGGAATAATTGGATTTCTATGACTGTCTTTGGTGTTGGCCAGTTTTTGATGACTTCAATCTTTTCTTCGCTTATTTGTACTCCGTTGACCCCTACTACGTAGCCTAGAAAGTTAACCTTAGTCTTGTGGAATTCACACTTTTTCAGCTTAAGTCTAAGGCTGTACTCGTTCAGGGCCTGTAGTACCTGCTTGACGTGTCCAGTGTGTTGTTCCTCGTTCTCTAAGTAGATTAGGATGTCATCTAGGTAGGCGATGACAGATATATCCAGATAGGGTCTAAGTACGTTGTTAATGAGTTCCTGAAATGTAGCTAGGGCGTTTGTAAGCCCAAACGGCATAATAGTGTATTCGTAGTGTCCGTATCGTGTTCTAAAAGCCGTTTTCCATTCTTCACCTTTCTTGATTCTAATAAGGTGGTATCCGTCTCGGAGATCTAACGCCGTGAAGATCTTTGCTCAAGACAATCAATCCCAGAGCTCGGTGATGTTCGGTAGTGGGTATCAATTCTTAATTGTGATGTCGTTGAGTTGCCGATAATCGACACATAGTCGATCCGTACCGTCTTTCTTTGGTACAAACATAATTGGATATCCTGCTGGTGACTTCGATAGTCGTATGTATCCCTTGGCTAAACTCTTGTCGATGTACTCTCTTAGTACGTTGAGCTCTCTTTCCGATAATTGATATATGGGCCCGAAAGTCGGTTTCTTTCCTTCCTGTAGGACTATCTCGTGGTCCCAGGGTTGATGCTTTGGTAACGCTTGGTCGTCTACCACTTCCTGAAATAGATGTTCATATTTTTTGTATTGTTCAGGGATCTCTGGAGTTGCGCTGTTCTCCTGTACTCTAGCTTCGTGATCTGTTGGCCTGGTTTCGGTATCTGCTGAGTTTGGCTTCCTGCTCTGGGAACTACCTGTCGAGTTCGCTTTCTTTTCTGCGATATTGCACTGCTTGGCAATGTTACTCTCATCTACCATTAGACTCTGCCGATGCGTAGGCTGGCTTGCGGTTGCGTCCGTTCCGCAGCACTCAAATTGGAACACCTTCGACTTCCAGTCGATCCGCGGGTTGTGTTCTCGTAGCTATAGGAGTCCTAAAATGATGTCGTAGGTAGCTAGTCCAAAGACGTCTAGGTCGATCTTCTCCTCATGCTCTTAGATGCTAAGTGTCACTTGTCTGACCTCGTGTGTTATTCTTTCTTCGTTTGGCATTGGTTCGCCGTTGGCAACGTGTAGTAGGTATGGCTGTTGTTTCTGTAGTTAGGTAAGTCCAGCTTTCCTGACTGCGTGCGCTAAAACATAGTTCGCCTGTGATCCTGAATCCACTAGTGCCTGCATCCGTTTTTCGTTGAGCTCTACTGTGAGCTTTATCAATCCTAGGGGATTTACTGCATTAATCTCCCTAGAGGGCCCTGGCTCTCGTGGCGCTGGCCTAAAAAAGACTCTACTAGGAATCCGTAATATTCTTTGGCTAGAACATGGGTGTCGCACTTATCGCTGAGGCATGTCTGCCAGTCTTGTTGTTGACAAGCGTACGTATGATCGTCTACGTACTCCGTCCGGTATGTTGTTTGCATCTGTATAACCTCTTGTAGGTCGTCGTGGCCTAGGAAGTGCTTCTTCTCCCTCTTGTCCTATAGGTGTTTTGGGCATTTGTCGTCTACGCATTCGAACTAGTGATATTTGCATTTAGGGTATCCATTGATGGTCTTAGGGTTCCATCCTGCTCCTTGTTTGTCAGAGTAATGGGCTGGGCAGTAGGCGGCTAGGCATGCTGTCCATGAGAGTCGAGCATGGTGTGCATTACGCGCATCATACCAATACCAGATGTCGTTGGTTTGCTGTTGCCTAGTGACTTGGTATTCCTTTTGTGATTGTCGCCATGTTTCTTGTACTTTCTGCGCCCATCGTGGTGTACTGGGTGGAGTTGTCTGTTGTACTGGATCCCATCGGGGTTCTTCTTGGTCTGGGTCGAGCTTGGTAGGCTTTGGCGTAGCGGGTCGGTTCTTCTCCTTGAACCTGGCCATTTTTTCGTGCTTCGTAGGTGCAGCGGGAAACTCCTGTTCCTCTGCTGGCGTCTCGTATTCTTCATCGCTGAGCGGGTTCTTCTCTTCCTCGCTACTTTTAGCGGTAGTAAGCATTACATCCTTAAGTCCTGTGATAAGTTCTTCATCTAGTAGATGGTATTTGACTTAGGCTGGTGTAATAACGTTCCAAGACTTGCCATCGTCGAGGCTGGAGTCTTTTCGGATAACGTTCAGTTGTCGAGTGACCTTATTCTTGCTTCGACAGTCTCGTGCCATGTGGCCTTCCTTGCTATAGGCATAACAAGTAAACTTCTTTTTGTCCTTGCTGTGCTAACCCTTAGGTCCTTCGTTTAGTTTAGCGCGTCCAAATCTACGTCCTTTGTTGAGGTTGTCGAGGTGCATAGGTTGAGCACCGTATCCTTGGTAGGATCCTGGCGTGGATGGCATGAAGCTGCGCTGCCGTCCCGTATTAGGGGTTGAACGTCGGTATTGCTGTTGTCGAGGCCGATTGTTCTTATCCTGTTGTCGCGTTCCCTAATTGAACAGTCGTTCTTCTAGCGCTAGTTCGTATAAATCGTTGTCGACTCTAATGGCTTCTTCCATAAGTTCTGCTAGCGTGTCGATGTTGGCTCCACTTCTCATGAGTTCTCTGCGCACTGCTGGCTTAAGGCCTTGTCGGTACATGCGCATGAGTGCCTTGTCGTCCTAGTCGATTCTAGTGGCGTGCTGCTGGAATATCGTCGTGTAGTCGGCGGCTAGTCCTGTCTGGCGTAGGGTTTGGATTCGCTGTTCCGCGACTACCGATTCTTTGAAAGGTGAGAAGTTCTGTCGGAGTTTGACTTTGAAAGCGTCCCAGTCTTCCACTAAGGCTGTGTTGTCGGCGTCGGTGATGGAGTCATCCATATAACGTTGAATGATCGGGTTGGCCTATTTTTCTGCGTCACCTCGGAAGTAGGTGGTGGCCAAGACGACTTTGTCTTTGTCGTCAATCCTATCATCTTGTAGGTGGAAGAACTGGTCAACCTAGAGG